ATGTGTGTAAGTATTTATCTATATATACAGAATAGAAGTTTAGATATTAAAGCATTATTAATTTTAGTCATTAAAATTATTTTATTGAATCAATAAAAGTCACAAAAGTTGCTAATGGTAATTAATAAGACTGTCGTGTTGTTAACTTTTTAAAAAGAATTATTGCTATTTAAGCAAGTCTGAATATAATCTATTTAGTGCTATTTATAGAAAGCTTTTCTCTGGTGTATGAAATAAGTTTAAATGCGTGGTTACTGTATTTAAAAAAGAGTCCATGTAATTTAATTTTTTAAGAAATACTTTAAGAAATAAAAATATGTTTATAATAAATATAAATTCATTTTTCTTAATTATTGTATATCAATAACATTGTAATAAGAATGATAAAAAAGACGTTTAACATATAAATCATTCTCAGGCCAAAGCAATTAACACTACTCTTAAAATTAGTTTTAATTTTAATATTAAAGCAATTAATTAATACTTAACTTTAATAATCAGGCATCAAACTGCTAAATGAAAAAAATAGTTCTATTAACATGGACTCTTCAATGTTTAATTAAAAAGTTATAAAATTAAGGAAATTATAAAGGATTGGGGTTTCATTGACACAGTTTAAAGCGCATTGTTGATATCTATTTGAATATGCAACAATAACGTATTGGGACCTTACTGTTTATCTAAAAGATTAACTATAGTCTTTTTTAGATTTCATAGAAAATGAATTGCAGCCAGAATTAGTAGAAGTTACTTCATTATTATTTCCCTAGCATTTATAAATCCAATTAGATGGTTCTCCAATACATTATGCGATACTAGTATGGTAATGGTTGCATGATTATGATCTGCAATGCTAAATAGGTCGAAGAGGACGAATTCCTTGATCTTCAAGATCATCAGATATCACTCCAATGGATTTTTACTTACGGATAACAGCAGAAAAAAAAGTTCATCAAACAGAAATTGATATGCGTCAGGAATTAATGCAAAAGAAAGTGAACAAGAAATTATTATTGCAATAAATTTTATTCTTTGTCAAAGTCAATCTTATGTTCATAATAACAAACAACATTTAAAGATGGAATTACAATTTGAATCTATAGTCTATTTCAATGTAGTACTGTATAAGGAAGCAGTCCGTTGTCATTTCATGTTTTCAATAACTTTTAAAAAGCTCATACTTATATACATTTTTTTCTTATTTTTACTTATAAAATATGCTAGCAAAACTTTACTAAAACAACTGGAATACTTTGTATAATAATATACTATATATAAGTAGCAATAAAATTTTTAATATTTTATATCTGAATAAAAAATTAATAACATTGCAAAACATTTTCATAATTACTATAAATAATATGTTAATCTATTTTTTATAACATGTCTTATATAGTCAAAATTATCAATAAAAAAAAAATTTATTTATACAATTACATATATAAAATATTTAAAACTAATATTATTTTCTGGCAAACTTATTTTTTTATGCTATTTAATCTAAAAAAATTTATATTGAAGAATAGTTTAAATAAACTGTATGTAATGTTTATTAACTTATAATCTTATAAATATACAATATAATATTATAAGAATAGATTTACATGTGTCAATACAAAAATGGCGCTTCACGATTAGTACACGTGCTGTATAATGCTAAAGTAAAGTTACCTTTAGTTATATTTTGATGCTAACAAACTTGATATAAAAAACTACAAAATGACTAGTTGGTCATTACTTGTTAATAAAAGTACAGTACGACAATGTTTTCGTTGTATGACTACAATGAAAAAACAGTCACCTGGTGAATATTGTTTGGAATTGGTTAGGTATGCTCATTGAATGCAATGATAATATAAAACAAAAAGTAAAATTTGTTATAAAAAGAAAATTGACCGCGTTTATCCGATTTTTTTAAACTTACATTTATTTATTTCTATGTGCATACATTTTTTACTTCTAGAAAAAACGATTATGAGAATTTTTTATGCACGTTATTATTACCTAAAAATATAAAAGCTGCGGGTTTTGCAATACGTGCTTTTAACGTTGAAATAGCACAAGTTGAAGATCAAGTAACTATGAAACACGTAGGAAAAATGAGATTACAATTTTGGAAAGAAACACTGAATAGCATATACGATGATTTGCCATCAAAAACTCCAGTCGCTATAGAATTACACAGGGTAAAGATTATATTGCAAAACAATAAGACAAGCCATCATATGAATAAAATATCATTTGTATGTTTAATTTTTAATACAGATATTACAAAAGCACGAACTTTCAAAAAGATATTTCAAACGTCTAATCGATGCTCGCTTAGATAAATTAGAAAAGTCAATATTTCCTAATATACAAGCAATTGAAAATTATTCTGAAAATGCTGTTTCATCAATCTATTATTTACTCTTAGAAGCAAATGGTATTAAAAATATAAAGGCAGATCACGTGGCTAGTCATTTGGGTAAAGCACATGGAATCATTACTTTAATACGTTCCATTCCGTATCATGCTCAGAAACGTGTTATTATTTTACCACAAGATATTTTAATGAAACACAATGTATCCTCCGAAACAATATTAAGAAATATAAAAACTAAAGCAGTAAATGACGTAATATTTGAAGTAGCATCTTGTGCGAAACAACATCTAGACGAGGTATTGCATCTTTATCATTTTTTTAGTTACAAGACAATAATTATTAATTACTTTTTTGTATAATCATTGTTTCAGGCAATTTTGCTTAATACTTTTAAAACAAGCAAGATAATATTTTTACCAATAGTTTTTATAGAAAATTATTTAGAAGAATTAAGGAGAACAGATTTTGATGTTTTTCATCCACAACTTGCTAAAAGAAATGGTTTCTTACCATTACAACTTCTATGGAAAAAGATAACTGATAAATTTAGTAAATAAAATTATATATATATAGAAAAAAACTAGAATACCTTCCATTTATATGAAATTATTCCTTTCTCTTATTGTCAAAAAAAGATAAGAAGTAGGTTAAAATAATGAAATAGAAAAAATATTTAAAAATCTCATGTTCTCTGAAATTCATCACTCTGTTTGATGTATTTATTGTATTACATATAAATGAGAATAAGATATTAAAGTGATATTGATAATATGTTACATTTACAAGGTATGAATAACATCATTAATAATAATAATTAACGATTCTTAATTCATTATCAAACTTGTATTTTGGCGCCTCATAAAAAGTACATAATAGTGATATCTAGCGGTAGTAATGAAAATCAAATCATCAATATGAAACATCTGGTCTTGTCAATTTTATTCAACATTACCTAATTGTTTTAAATAATGCATAAACGTGTTATAGACATATGATAAAGAAAGAAAAAAAGAAAAAGATAAAAGAACAACAAGAGGTAAAGAGTACTCGTTAAAAAGAATACTAAAAGAAAACCTAAAGTGATTAATAATCAGAATATAAACAAAATAAGTATTATAATGAATCAGAGATCAAGGTACGTGTTTCTATTGCAGAGTGAATGTTCGATGTGGAACTAAATGGATTTGTGATAAATTAAGCGATTATAACTGGTAAGTGACCATCAAAAATATCTGTTATATATGTGTCAATAATTATGACAATGGATGTCAAAAAAGAGAGAAAATTTATTTTATATGATTTATTTGATAATAATAATTTTTAATACTTAATCCACACTCTTATAATTACAGGCACATATTTGTATTTACAATTAATTCAGAAATGAAATTTACATTAAATTAAATAATTACGCATTTGTGTATAAATATAATATGCATTTACCGAAAGAAAACTAAATTTTACGTTTTAACATTTTTATAAACATAATGTATTTCTTTTTATTCATTTTCTTATTATACATTTATTATGATTAACATATATAAATAAGAATAAGATTAACATATAAAAATATAGACGCAAATATTTTAAAATTATTTATTATGTTCTGTTGTATTGATTACAGTTTTCTTGTTCAATAATTCAGAATGAAACTTTTCTTGCAGCTCTCTACTAATTTTTCTATAAATAGACTGATTGTGTCTACAGAAATATACACTCTGATGCATATTTGCAATCATGGAAGTAGAAGTAACAGATGGGTTATGCAGGATTCAATCTGTAGATCGTGCTAGAAAGATACCAAGTTTAAATTACTTGTTTGACAAATCTACTAAAGTTTATGATCGTATGAAAGGAGCTAATACATTTGTTAATTGGGCATTTGATATGATGGAAAATGTTGTAAATACTGTTATTGAGAAATCATTACCGGTCGCTAGATTAATGGAAAAGCCTATTTATACTTTGGATAAAACTTTGTGTCAGGGTTTAGATTTTATGGAAGTTAAACTGCCTATAATCAAAGAAGAGCCTAAAGAGGTAACTGCTACGATTTGTATCGATTATTTGCATCAATTCATCAATCAACGATCATCTTAATTCTGTGACATATAAATCAAATAAATTCAATACAATCTACAAAACTATTTATTTTCAACTTAACATTTGTGTAAACTTAACTCCTTGTATTACGATTTAATACATGGAGCTGTGTGACATGTTCGGTGCTATATTTCATAGTACTTATATTTGACATATAAGATTCACCAAAGTAAGACCTATGTTTTTCATGTTTGGACCAAAAATATATCACAAGTCTCACACAATGTTATAATGCAAGGGGTTAAATCTATGTTCAAAAATCGATATTAACAATGGCATAAAAAACATACAACGTTTTTGAAAAACGTTGTCTTCATATGTTAAAGAATTAAATCGTAAAAAATGTTTTCTATTATTTTCTTATTTTTTTAGATATTAGATAAGACCAAATCGATAGTCACAAATCATCTACGACCAGCTGTAAAAACATTTTCCAATCTTAAACACGAAACAAAACAAAAAGTTAGAATCATGATTTTACTTACTTATTATAAGATGCATTACTTACGTTTATATAGTTGGCAACAAGCAGACAGAGTCATGTCCACTGAAACGGGAATCAGTATTCTAAAAACTGTGGATAATACGACACATCTGGTAGAATTAATATTAGATAAGTACTTACCTGCATCACATGAAGAAATTGAAGAGGACGCAGGTATATAGTTTTATCTTTATTAATATGTTATGCGCCAAACTTCTTTTATTGAACTTTCCGTTTCGACCACAATAATCTAAACATGAGAATGTTGGCCTGGATGGAAAGACTAAAATCAGTCCATAAAGACTGACATAGCATTTAACATGTTAAAAATAATAAATCTTACGATTAAAATAAAAAATACTGTATTTTCATTTGTATTTTATATTTTATAGAAGAATTATGCAGTGAACATGCCAAGTTACATCATACGATGGAAAGACTTACCGAATTTGGTAGTCGTACTATTCGTCGTATTTATCTTGCTTTAGTGGAACATTCTCAACACATGTATAAAATAGAGATACTTATATTAATATTGTACGCTCTTATTGTAATTCAAACTATGAAAGTGTTGGAAATACTATTTACTTTCGTATTCAAATTGTTTAGCAGTTATGTATACTTCTTTTTTCTAGGATTTTTGCACATTTTACAGTGGACTTATTCGTAATTTAAACAAAATCATTTATATCATATATATAATTCTAAGTATCTTGTGTAAAGGCATATTTTACATAGTCGACAAAAATTTAAATTGTGTCAAATGAAAGAGCGCAATTGATTATAGTTCTGCAAATTATTGTTTATATATTTTGTTAAGATGTTATTTTCTTTTTATTATTATATGTTATTATTGATATGGTTATATTTTTATAGTACTTATCATTTGTACGTTTTCTTTAAACAAATGAAAGAAAAATGTTTATCACAGTTTCATAATTAATTTATTTTTTTATAGACTATAATAGAAAAAAAATAAAGCTTGAAATATAATTGTATTTTTATCAAAAAGAAGAAATCTCCGTTGTTAACTAGTTAACTATGATGAAAAATGAAACGACGAGTATGTATATCCGTTATAATATCGAATTAAGTTGCAATCAAATGACTGTCTTATTTTTGTATAAAATTTATTTATTCATTTAATTTAAATATATACTTTGCATATGAATGAAAAAAATAAAAAAAATCAATTACTGAGAAAAATAATTAGTTAGAAATCTGCTATTGTTGAATGACATTGAGTAAAGCAAGAAAATGTTTCCCGATTAGACGTGTTACGTTAGCCGAGTTGGTTCCACTTCGTTCATATTATGCATATACAGTATTTTCATACTAATTATTTATTTTCTTTTTTTCGTTTTATATTTTGCCTTGGTCTCAAAATATTTTAAATATTATTTTTTAATTACCAGTCGTTATTATCTCTCCTTTATAATTACATGTTAATAAAAAAAATATCATTAAAATGAATAAAATTTGTTAAGAAAGATATAGCAAAAACAGATTGTCCCCAAGGTCTCCAAATATTATCCTTGAGAGGACAAATAATTAATTAATTGAAAAGTTATCGATATCAAATGCACGATAGACATAAAAACAAATCAATTAGCGTCGTGTTTGCGCGTATACGCCGATTTCGGCTTCAAATAAGATTTGATTGATCCTCAATTTCGCGACCGATCTGGAATAAGAGTCCGGTATTTCAGCAAGTTGTACGGCTATGCTTTCGCCGAACTTAACAAATTCTTCTTTAGTTTTTTTCGTTTGATTCGGTGATGCCTTTTCAAGGTTCAACGTTTGTCCAGTTTCTTTAATATCGGCAAGCGGATTTTTTGGCCTTGGTAACGAAGAATTACAAAGTTCTATCACTTTCAAACTTGACGAGGATGATTCCTCAGCATCTTCGCTCAATGAAGCATTGAGTGAACCAGTCGTAGAACCATTCGTTTCTTCGTTATAGTCGACGAATGTTATACATTCCGGATCGATGTCACTCACAAGGTATTCTTCCTGCAGTGTTGATTCTTCTTCGATTTTCTGTGATATTTCAAACATTTCTATGTTACTTAATCATTAATAACTTTGATAGCTTTCTGTACCACTTGGTCCAACAGATCGATGCATATACAATCAGTTGCAGTATCTTAGATTTGCGTTTCGATTTCTGATCTTGATAATAAATAAATGAAGAACATCATTGTATACAGGGTGTTTGAGGGTTTTCCAATCAAATGATGTCAGCATGTTTTATACACGATTATAAGAAAAAAATATTGTATAAACATAGGTCGTTTATAGTCTTATTTAACAGCTAGCATACAATATACTGACACCGTTCCGCTGGGAAAATCTCAGATACTCTGTATATACGACATAAACTTTAATGATACTCACTGACCAATAATACCTATATTAACTATCTTCAAATACCTACACACGTATCTACGATCGATTGTGATATGACAAAAACAGGATTAGAATTAGAATAGAACTGCGAGAAATAAAATATAACAAAACGCTCGATAAAAATTAAATAGCTTTGTTGTTTATTTTAAATTAAAATTTAAAAAATAAAAAAATAAGAACCCTGTAAGAATAGAAAAAAATAATAATATTAAAAGTTTCTTTCTTATTGTTATATCACTTCTTACCTTCTTTCTCTTGCTATACCGACGAGTACCGAATTGAAGAAATTGCATTGCCTTGAATGCGAACCACTTGGAAACGTAAACATCGTCCAGCCTGGTAGCGACGTCCCGGCTATTCTGAATTTTGTGCACCTCCCTCGAGTATTGACACTTCAAATTAGTAATTTTCTTCTCGACTTCTAATGTATTGCAAGATAATATCTCAGCGAGTTCTTGAATCGCGCGTTTACGTTTAGTTCTATCCCTGTAACCACGAGCATTCCAATCCCAAAGTACGCGTCTTTGTTGATATTCTCGAAGAAGTTCCAAGGTTTTATCCCGAGTCCATTCCATCCCAATTAGACACGAGTTGTAATGATTTCTTCCTATTACTATCAAATTGTTCTCTTCCTCGTCTTCTTGATTATCCTTGTTATTCCAAATATCTCTATCTCTGTAGTACATGCTCCGTTCAAAAAGAAATTCTCGTCGAGTCCTTTTGTTGGAGCAGCTAACGTTTTATTATTTCGAAACCGCTCAGAAATACGCGGCTTGAAGGACTTACAATCAGAATCTATCCCCGCTTATTTATTCATCCCCCTTCTACCCTCGACTTCAACTTTTTTCTTTCTCGCACTTTCTCTTTCGCTCTCATTATTGCATCTTACTCACTGTGCTGTCAAGTAGCATTTAAACGTGTGTATGAGTGCGGGTGTCGCTACCGTGAATTGGGCACGCGTTTAATGATTTTTGCGTGAAGCTTGAATGCAAAAAAGAGAGAGAAGGATAGAGTAAAAAGAGAAGAAGAGAGGAAAGAGCCGCGTTTGCTCACCTAACCTTCATTTTAACTTTTTTCCTTCTATTATTTTCTTTTGCATTGGAAAGTAGCATCGTCGTCTGAACGCGCGTTCGAATGAACCAAAACGAGACACGACGAAAACAGCCGAGTCTGCGCGAACCTGATCTTCATTGTGTTTCGTGATTATTACTATGCGTAATAACAAATTTGTTTACAAACATATTAGTTTTATAAAAATTTTCTTTTAAATTATTCATATCTAATAACATTTGTACATATTCCTAACGTCTATTTACATTAACTATCATACTTTTAATAATATATTTGTCTTGTAACATTCTAAACTGCACAAAGGAACACCTGTTTTAGAACAAGAATATTTCTTCAGATTTTTACATTTGTTCACGCTGCACAGAACCGGTACTGGTATTTCTTTTCTAGAAAAAAAAACATATTTCGTATATAAGATATATGATTGAAATTAGAAAAAATACGAAAGAAAAGATAATATTTACACTTTCGCTGGTTTTAGTGGAAATTCTTCTCCCGGTGGTAAAGATATTGAACTTCCTCCTATTGTCATACGATAAGTAACAAGAGGAACTTGTCTTTTAGATGGTTTACCTTTACCAATTATTTTCGAAGCTTTCGATTCTTGTTTTTTTAATAATCTTTCCATCGTCTTTTTCTACAATCAAAAACAGATAAAAATTAGCTACATTCATCATAAGTACAGTAGTATCTTGATTAACCAGCGTGATCAGGAAATAAACGACGTAGATAAATCGAGACAAGGGTGGAACTTTTTAAAACACGTATCTTCTATACAAAATAACATTTTCTTCTGTTATTCTTTTTTATAATAACATAAATGTGCATACTTACAGATATGTTGTATTTGATATGTATTACAAAATAGTATTCCTATATTCTTATATTATTATCCGTGTACATTTTTATCGCTTTATTAACACTTTCGCGATGGACGGTAAAAAAAGGAAAATTATACTAAGAACAAAATTTGGAAAAAATTTGAATACATATATCTCAAACTGATTTCAACGTTTATCATTAAACATAAGACAACGGATAATTAAGATGCCTGATAAATACGAACCGGTTAATCGAGTCCTACTGTATGTGGACAATTAAAAATTTATTAAAACTGTTTATCTCTCTTTACTTTATCTTTCTCCCTTTTTTCATCAGCAAGTTGTTTTCTTTTTAAGGACTTAAGAGCAGCTTTTTGAATTGCTTCCGCAGTCATAACCTTTTCTTTATATCCCGTTGGTAATGACATAAGTTGTTCTACTCCCGGATTTGGTTCTGTATCCGTTTTTCTTTCAAACATGGCTCTTTGTCGTGCAGTCATCAATTTTGGATCTTTTGGTTTGATCTTTTTCAATTCATCATCTACCTAAATAATAAAAAGAATGTAATTATTTTTAAAGTATTTTATTTAATAAGATATTGAAAATAAATTTTTATTGCTACCTACCTCCTCAAGCTTTCCAGATTCTATAGCATCTAACCACCTTTCTTCTTCGCTACTAGTACCACTATCTTTTCCTTTGTTACTCTTTGGAATCTTTTTTTTAGTCTGAACTTTTGAAGAAGATGTAGCAACACATCCTGTTGAACTTAAATTGGTTATCTTTGTAGATTTTTCACGAATCTTTTCAATGCTGTACATTATATAGATCAATTATTAAAAAGTTCTTCGATATTAAAATGTGTGATCTTATTTAATTTAATAAGGATAAAAATAGTCTAACTGAGACATACCTCCTTTCGTCTTCCTTTTTAACTTTAACTTTAAACATTTTTTTTCTTTCACCTTCAGGTACTTCAGTAGTAAAACCATCACTATCCTCGTGTATTATCTTTCTTTTCTTATGTTTTTTGTGTTTATGTTTTTTGTGTTTCTTTTGCGTTGACACCTCACCTGAATCTAATATTATGACTAGTATAATCAATTTGATTTATATAAAAACATATAAGTAACATTAAATACATTAGTATATGTGATTTACTTTTAAAAAACAAAATATTAATGAAAAATAATTAGCCATAATAAATCAAATTATTTTGAAATTAATAAACATAAAATATTCATTTTTTTCTTCGGTTATATTTTTTAAACTTACCCATTTAAAAAATGACAGCTGTTTAAAGTGTTACTAATAAAAAACGACTCGATGTATAGAAAAAATTATAACACAATTGTGTTATAGATGAAATGTTTAGTCAAGATATCCAAACTTAGTACACATCACAAATTCTAAATAACATAAGGATGTATAGAGAGCTTTATCTCTAATAGTAGATGGCACAGCGATTGCCAAATGCCACCTACTGACATCACTATATAAAATAATAGACTCGTAGGTTGTACCTACGATTGCAGTATTAAGATCTGGGAAAATAGTAGTATTAAGCTATAAAATTCATTAATAATTATACATTTTTCTCTTACACAAATTTTGTTTCAAAAACTACAGAAAATATTGATAGTATCTACTAGTGATAATATAGATATCTCGATAATCGATTATGTTTTCTACCTTTGCTTCGAATGGTGATGGATCCGCGTAAAGGAGTCTAGGGAATATTCCTAGAGTCGCACATAGCCGCGAAAAGCACATAGATCATACGAAGCACGCGTGATGTAAAGTAAAATATTCATGTTATGTTGTTATCACAGATAACATTAATATCGCAGGAACGTTTGTTTTTATCTTTACGAATACAATTTTTACCATAACCTATAAGCTTATATTTTTACAAATTTACAACAATAATAATCAAGTATTAAAATTAAGGGAATTTATCAACTATTATAAAGAGTTGAAAAAGATTGAATTTGCTTTAAAAAGGGGTGAATTTGATTTTCAAAAAATTAAATTTGAAGTGTAGAATCTGTATATGGGTACAGTACTAAAGTTTTTATTCCTCCAATTTTTTATATAAACCGGTCACTAGCGTTAAAGCTCTAACGCTAAACCTACCAACAGTTTATGCATATCTATTTATACAATTATTGATCTAATGATTGATCTGTAACAAAGGTTAGACTTCAAAAATTGAATGAAAATAATGATCAATTTAATAGCAGATTGAATAATAAATAAAATAATATTAATGATTATAATAGATAAGTCAAGTGAAGAAAAGTGATAACATTGTGAGCACAAAATTTTAATTAAAAATAAAAAATCGATCATTTAACTAGTTGTGGTATTTTGAAAACGAATGAACCAATTAGTAGTCATCATATATTTTCTTAAATCGTAAAATTACACTGGATTTTCTATTATTTTACTATTCTTCTTCACATTAATTTTCGCATGATATTTAGATTTTAACACAACAACTGTCAAAAACTCAGATTCGCACAAATAAGAAGTCTTAAATGAAATTAAAATGATAAAAATTATGTAATATTTTGCGGATCTCTAGGGTACCAAACACACATTTTGGGAACCACTGACTTATAAGATATTTTATTTTTAAATTATCACTTATTCCAATTTTAACATTATTTCACCGTAAAAGAGAAACAAAAACATATTTAAAAGACTCTATGATGTACCAGAAAAAATTATTATCAAAAATTTGAATAAAAATATTACGGTGATATAAAAATATTTATTAGAATGAATTAGTGGAAACATATGATTGATGGATGAAATTACTAAATTACTAGAATTTTTATACACATTTTATCTATTTTCGCAACTTTTACGCAAAAAAAAATTGTAACCGTGTGCACAAACTTACTGATTCGTTTAAATTCTCGCGTTTTATTTTTTTAAGTCAGATGCGAAAATCCATGAAAATTCCAGTTAAAATTTAAATTTGGTTGGTTGAGAATACATTGTTAGACAAATTTAATCTTTATTTAGGAACTAAACTTATCAGACAATTCCAAGAGGGGATTCCCTGACTTTAAATTAAGAATCATGACAGTGCAAGTAAAGTACAAGAACTTACTCGAGGAGTTTGTAAAAATTTCGAGACCTTGTGTTTCTGTTGAAAATTTGGAAGAGATTAAAAATGAATACTCTTACGATATAGGGTCTAAACGAAAAGTAAGTAGTATACAAAATCTTGAAGGATTAATTAAAGTGTTAGGAAAGTATGCCATACTCGCTTACGATGATATTAAACCGTTGTATGATATCGAAAAGAGATATATTAAGAAATCCTATTTAGTAATGAAATTAAAAAACTATGAAGATTGGTATAAATTGATGAATTATCCATCGTATTATAATATGTATCAAAATGATAATGGTGAGTGTTTGTATTTTTTAACAGCTTTATTACATTTAATATATGTAACGTTTTTTCTTTAAAAATCTTATAAGTTAAATTTCGCAAAAAATGAGTTAAGATTAGATTCAGTTAGATATGGATAATTTCTTCTCATATTGTTAATAACAAAGCCGAAACGGTAAAATATCCTTATAAATTTATTTATAAAAGTTGCACCATAAAGTGTTAATGCATTAATGTTTTTTTTAAGTGCTATAAGTCCATTTGCAGTTCACAAAAGTCTTATTTTTCTTTAATAGTTTTATTAATTATTATCGGATAATGTAACTAATCCTGCTTACATCTTTAAAAATATCACCATAATTAATGAACATTAACCAGCATTTTTAAATTAATCTAAACACAAACGTTTAAATATTTCAAAATAAGAATAAATAGACTTATAATCTTTAGAAACAACAGCTCTCGTATGTGCCAGACAAAATAAAAAAATAACGCTTGCATTATTTTTTAATATATATGATAATTTATATATAATTATATAAATATTATAAATAAATATATATATATAGTGTTGGTACATATATATTTGTACACATACAATCTTTTATTAACATATAATATTTAATTATTAAAATGTTATAATTTTTAAAAGTTCTATACTTTGTTACAGCACGATCTTTACCGAAAAATAATGATCATGAAACATGTGACAGAATAGCATCATTAAATTCATTATCAGAATGTAGTCATAAATTAAAATTATATGAAACACCAGAACAGTTATCCAAAGCTTTAAATAGCAAGGAATCAAAGTTAAAACAGATAGGTATTTATTAATTATTGAACTTCTTTAAATATAATTAACAAGATAAATTAATATGAAATATTCTAAATTTAATTTAAATATATACTTTAAGTTGTACTGAAAGTCAGCGAACAACTGGGACGTTCTTGGAGAGATGTTTGCAGATATATGAATCTTAAGGAATATCAAATAGATGAATTAGAAAATAAATATCCGTGTAATTTAAAAGAACAATGTAATCAGGTAATATATGCTTAAATGTAATTTTATATTAAAAATATAATATATATATATGTATTTACACAATTAAACATTTTGCAGGCTTTGCGTATTTGTATTTCGCAAAATAATTCAGAGTGGAAAATGAATTTATTACACGCGTTAGAAAAAGGAAGACGTAAGGATGTTAAAGAGGTTGTTGAAAATATCTTATTGCATAACAAAATATAAAATATTTTTTGTATAAATATAATATGTAATATATAACATTATTATTTATAAAAAGGGAATGGAATTAAAGCTCTGAAAAAGTGCATGTAGCAATGTATATATATTTTTTTTCTTTAAATATACTTTATATAAGAAAGGCTTAAATATAATTGTTGTATGTCAAACAATTGTGTAAACATCACACATCTTTAATACGTTTTAGAAGAATAAAGCAAGATGCTGCATTTCATTGATCTTTGCTAATCTAATTAACAAATGTTGAAAGTTTAATGTTAAATATTCGATATGCTTATGTAGGAAAGACAAACAAACAAAATAAACCACTATGCCTTTTGAAATAATAATAGAAACGAGCTTTATTTCATGCAAATTGGAAATAATATGTATTTAAGTGACAAATGTGGAAAGTAGAAAAATACAGCAGCCTGCGCGTATCTTTCATAAACTACCTCTAAACTATGTATTATACATTTATATGATATTATTTTGTTACATTTAATATTTATTTATTTTAACTTTCGCTCGATTATTTTTCGGATATGAAGTTACGAAAAAGAAACAAAAAATATTTTTTCATCATTTTAATCAAATTGATAAATAGATTATATATACTGATATTTAAATCAATATTAATGAAAATTTTGTTAAATACCTGTTACTCAATGATCAATATAACAATGAAATTTAAATGAAGTTAAGAATTCTTGACATATTATAATTAGACCGTATACGAGTTTTTTGTTTGACTTCCTTTCTTGATCATAGTATCTTGATGTGCCTGATATCCTATAGTTACTTTTGGTGTAATCCTCAATCTTTCTTTTAATTTACGTCTGGAAATTAAAAACATAATATTAATATAAAAATATAGATTATATGAGTCGTTCATTAAGTCAATTTCACTAAAAAAAAAATAGATATTATTGCTAAATTAATATACCGTGTCGTATCATTTATTATCGAACAGCTATAAAAATTGTTTTCTTTTAATAGTATAATATATAATTATTCAATAAATTTATTTTAAATCTAAAAAGCTAAGTATCAATCAATCTATAATAAAATTTGCACAAATTCTTAAAGTGGAGTTAATCGCTTTGAGTTGTGACTGGTTAATATAAATAATATAAACTTACCCTATTTCCATAACGCTATCTTCACAATTGGAGTTAGCTGTCCATACACCAATTTTATCACCTTTTATCCTAACATTAACAACAGCGCCACATACATCATCCGAGTATTCATTGAATGCTTCTCCGATCATGCACAGAAGAATTTCTAACCAAAAATGATCTAAATCCATAGCTCTTTGTTTCTTTTCTAAATTGATAAGCCATCTTCCACCTAATTTGTTAGCATCGTCTTCCCACATTGGTCGGATTCCTTGTTTGAACATACTATAATCGCAACCTTGTCTTAACTCTGATGCATGCTTTATGTGATTGTATAGACTGTTGAGGGAAAAATAATTTTATCATTAATACAAATAATATATAGTAAGTGTCCAAGGTTTATCCGGCTGAACTGTGTCTATATTGTATAAACCATTCGACAACAATATTTTTCTGAAGCATATAAAATTAAATTTACCTCCAGAAATCTTCTGCAGTATCAAAACTAGTAATTTCGCGTTGACTTTCTTCCCATGATTTACTTTTGTCTGGTTCATAGTACCAAAGCGTCCAAGTATGCTGCAGAGGATGTTTGATCAAAACTTCTGGTGGAAATTCATCAAAATTTATTATTCCTTGCTCCTTCCGTTCAATCTCCTATGAAACAAGATTTACAATTAATGTTTATTATAGATTTACATAAACTTTTAGCATAACGTATTAATTTACTGTCATAACGTTTGTGGAAAAAATATTGTGCATTAGAAAAATATGAAAGGGATAAAAAAAATTTCGGGACAACCTAAAAACTAAGGTCAAAATCATTTAACCTAGAAAATCGTATACCCCGCATTATCGTGGTACCACGCGAGTTAAAGGCGTTCACGTAACATAGTGCACTGTTTTTGAAATATAAACACTTAATAAAAAAGGAAGACATTTAGATTAAGTACACGTCATTGTTATAAAAATTGAATAAAGAATAAAAGATAATAGAAAATATGAGAAATAATAATGATTCTCAAATCTGTATAGAAAGTTTTGGTAAGAAACAGATGTAGACACATACGGTAAAAGAGGGGTAGTAAGAAATGAACCAAGCGACCATGCTGCTTCCTTCGATACCGGATTATAATTAGAAAAATAATTAGACAGATTTATCATTTTTGAATGGTATATTGCTTAGAAATTTTTGTTTATGTCAGGATAGCATGATTTTTATCTCTAAATACCTTGATTTCTTCCGTATTACTTGTAGCCATGTTACATCTAAGTGCAAACACATACGAACAAGACGTTCTCGTTGACCGAACTGACTACGAAGACATCTGTCGGCAAAACTTTCACACCGAGCAACCCTTTCCGCGAGAAAAAAAAGAAATGATATGAAAAGATAAAGAAGAAACTTATAAGAGAACAAGAAATTTAACCCTAATCGGTTACACACGGTACAAAATATGTTACGATCGATACGATAAATAGGAATTTGAACAAAGTTCATTTAGTGGTTACTTAAGATGATAAAAATCTTGAAATAGAAAATATATTTATACTTTCTTCTTCCTCCTTCTCCTTCTTTCTTTTTGACCTTCTTTTAGTCTTTGATAATAAACGAAAATTAGAAGATATACTGTTCTCAACACAGCAACAAATTTTTTTTTGTAGTAAACATTTTTTTTTTCCAAGTACTAACGTTCACGACCTTCTCTTTTTTTCTTCGTATTTACTGTTTTGTTTCAGATAAACGTATAGGAAATTGTTTTAGACTTCTACATTTATATATATATACAGAGTTCGTAGAAAAATTGTATTTACACTCAAAGAAAAGAAAAATTTGTATTAATATTTTAGTATTAAATTTATTCAGGTATCACGAAATTAATAAAAGTTATCTTCTTTTACTTTTACAAAGTAAAGTTTTACGTTTATCAAAGATTTATTTACGAGTGAAGTAATCAATATTGTTATGTTATGTAAAAATAGATTTATATTTGACTATTTTCAAGCACTTAATTGTACTGTTTTTTATACACATTATAATATATTCTGTAATATAAAAACATAATTTTTAAACTAAATTTTACGGTTTCTAATTGAATTTATGATATAGTACGCCATGTATAAAACAATCTCTCAAGTCCTACAAATATATAAATGATTTTATGAACTTCATTATTTTATGGAATAGTTAAAATTTTAAAAAGGAAATTTAAAAAATAAATGATTATCCTAACTCTTGTTTGCATTAATAAACAAAAGTTAAATTTTTTTCTTTTTTTTAACTTATTTACAGTAGATTTACAAAACTGTTTATCAATTTATATAATTAATAATAATTTAAACTTGACACATCACACATTGACAGTGTTATTTAAATTACAACATGTATGTTCATAGCGATCCCTAGTTATTTTCATTATATTCAATATCTCTTTCACAATATTTTAAATCATTTTTTAGCTTAACATTTAGGAAAAGCAAAGTAACATATTTTAGTAATTTACAAATAAATCCTTTTAAACATTGACAATTAAAAATAATGCATTACGCATTCTGACGGTCATGAGTTTCTGTTCTGATAATCCGTATTTAAGGTTTTCAAATCTCTTTGCTTTAATTTAATATATTCATTCCTAATGGTTATATCTGAATTTATTATTAAAATTGGATTTTTTGTAAATTCTTTTTTGTTCGAAGATAAATAAGTGGTGGTTTTAATTAATGTTGGAGTAGATCGAATGGTTGTCTCTTCCAGTAGTTTCTGCTTAAATTTTTTTTCGGATATATTAACTATTTCTAGCCGTGAATCGTCTAACTTTTTATTACATTTTATACGATCGATATTCATAGAAATATCTTTCACGAAAGATTGTATTTTTTCAGTCGAAGCATCAGGAGAAATGTTTTTAATGTTGGTGACTTCTCGCTTCTCTCTATCATGATTTTCTAAAATATCTCTTCGCATTACTTGAATGTCATTATCACTTTTTTCTATTAATTGCTCAGATTTGTTAATGTTAGTTTGACTTTTAATCTGTAATATAAGAGGTACAATATTCTGATTTTGCGTTAATATTTCATCAGACTTATTCATTTCATTGACGATACTTTCTTTTTTACCCTGTGATATTTCTATATCTCTTTTGTTCTTTGATATAGTTTTTATTAAAATTCCTTTAGTTAAAGCACTTAAAATACTTCCTTTTGACTTATTAATAATATTATCAAACGTTACATTAAACTTTTCTTGATAATGTGATGTCGAATGCAGTTGATCCGTATCCTTGTTGTTTTCTTTCAACTTTATTTTTTCTACATTTTGAATATTTTTGTTATTCTTTGTATCGATTAACTGTTCAGAATCATTTTTATCCTGTACAATACTTTTATTAACGTTTTTAATATTAGGTGTTTCTAAAACATTTTCATTGATGTTCGTTCCAATTGTATATTTCTTTAACATTTTGTTTTTATCGAAATTTTTACTAATTTTGTTTCGTTTATCAATATTTTCAACTTTTTCCGAATTGAATTTTTGTATAATATTTGTTTCATCGTTATCATTATTCTTATCATTCTTTATAGACTCTTCTATATGCTTTTCTATTTTCCCTATTTCTATTTCTAATTCCTGCTTCTTTTCCTGTAGATCTTCTAGTTTCTCCTGTTCTTGTAACATTTCCAAATTTTCTAATGCTTGGTCTCCTAAAGTTTGTCGATGCTTTTCATTTTTTTTTATCGCCATTGTATCAGAAATTCCTTCTTCCGCAGCTAGTTCAGAATCTTCTTTTTTTATTGCATCAGAATTTATGAGATTATCAATTTTTGAAATTTCATTAGTCATTTTAGATTTAATTATATTAATGTTTTCATTAGCCTTTGACGTTACAAAGTTCTCATACATTATCAATTTACTATTATTTATAACAGAATTATGTTCTTTGTTGAGGTGTTCATTTATTGTTTTGATCTTTCCAACAATTTGTTTAATTTCCGGAGCAAAACTAGCTCCTATATTTTCAGCAGGATTTCGTTCTTCTAGCATCAACTTCTCTGCAACAGCAACACGTTCGACCGGAACTGGAGGTTCTTGACGAATATCGCCGAGATGTTTATTTTCATCCATCATTTCAATTTTTGGTAATACATCTATTACTTTTTCTAAAATTAAAAATAACATATAAATAATTATATACTGTAGGTGATCGGTTAATGAACAGTTTCGATTGCGAATAAATCGGATAACAAATACTTTCGTGAAAGATTTTTATGTTTGGGCAAGAAACACATGTTCGAATAATGAACAATTAAGAGAATAAACACAAGAAAAAGCAACGTTGCGTATCAAATTTATAGAATTGTATTTTTTTTTCGATAATCGGATAACAAACAATTCAGATTGTGATTAAGTGATCATCCACTTTAATACCATATAGTAACATTTTTACTAAACCTTTAACGTTTGATAGAATTTCAGGATTATTAGAAACAGATATCAAACGAATATCTTCTTTCTTGACATGTAATGGTAAATTATCTAATTGACTAAGTGATCTATCAGTCGTTATTCCAATTTTGGTATTAGAAGATTCTTCCATTGCATACAAATTGGCATATGTACCAAGAACCATTATCCAAACGCCAACGAATAAAATCGCCTTGAATGAAAAGTAATAAACAATTAAAATAATATTTACAATAAATATGATTGTCGATATGGACTTTGCATTATAATTATTACCTGTGCTAATAATCTTTCATTTGTATGTTTGCTGCTCATGGATATGAAAAATGCTGCAGGAAACATTAAGCATATCATAACACCAATCGTAGATCCAACTAAACCAAGTACGAATTCAATATTTGGCATCAATATACCGGTAATTACTGAAAAAGATACTATTGCAATGGTGAGACATCTGAATCTTACTTCTGGCATATAATTCATAGACGGTTCGTGAGTGTGTACCTAAAAGTTCTAATAATAATGCTCATATTCAATAGATTCGTCATATAATCTATATGCATACCCGACGAAACAAGAGAGAATTCAGACTTGCACGGCAAGGAAAAATGACTAGCGGAAAACTAAAAGCTACAGAGAAAAAAAATCCCATCTTAATCATATCTGACGATATGCTAGGTTCAAAGCTCATCAGTATATTTCCTATGGACGAATAAAGAAGAATATTATTTTTATTATAAATAGAGTTCACAATTCCTTTTTATTAATGTCCATATAATAAAAGCGTACCTGTGAACGGTTGTGTACAGAATGCAATATATCCAAAGAAACCAACGCATAAATATACCAAAGTACAGATATTTAATGCGCCTCGTACAACATCGTTCATTTTTTCGAGAGATACGTTCGGAATGGTTTCATATATTTCAAATAACTGTGTTTGGCAAAAAAGAGCCATAGAAAATATTGGCAAACATTGAAGAATACCGCTGGATCTCCAAAAGTATACGTTACTCGTCCAATCACCCGCAAAAATGTGTTGTATTGACTCGGTGAACACCTGCCAATATAAAAATTATTATAAAACATAATAAATCTTGTAGTAAAAAAGTATATGAAATAAATAGCACATAATACTTGTTTGTAATATTTATAGAATTCTTACCTTCAAAACAAGGCAAGCGTAAAAACCAACAGTAGCGGTACAAATACTTGATAAACTGTCAATGTTTCTCAATAGACCCAACGGTAATATTATAAAAATACTTGTTATTAAAAGTAGACTAGTTCTTATATCATCAGGTTTTTTGTCTATGAGTTTCCCAACAATTTGTGGTCCCAAATCACCAACAACGACAAAAAATGCAATGCAAGTACCAACGAGAAATCCGATAATAAAAAGTTCAACTAAAAATTTGCCCATGTAGCCAAACGCATAGAAAGCAAGTAGCTCAAAATTACGTCTTCTTGACATTACGGATGACTTAATAAGAAGATGACAAGCAAAACGAGATAGAAAATTAGATAATAAAAGAATCAACGCAGCTAAAATAATGCCGCATTGTTTAAAACAAAATGGCATGGCGAGAACACTTACGCCGATAATACTGTTGGCGAGTGTCATAACGTGTGATAAATGGGCCATTATTTAGAATAAATATAATGTTGTAGAATAATATCAATTAATCTCTAAACGTTTATTTTTAGAAGATAATTAATCTTTCATTAATTTTCTTCTGATCTTGAAATCTCTTATATAAGTTTCTTAAGAATTTGTATACTTTCTTCTCTTATTCTTTTTGATAATTTAAAAAATATGATATATTATCACAATAAATAAACTATCCTTTTATTTCTTAATATATATATATATATATAGATATATCTCTTATTTAAATGTACAATCAAGTTGTCGTCCCGCCAATAATAAACTTGTATTGTTTTTAATGTTGAGGTTAGAAATATGGAACTTCAGCCGTATTATATTTTTGACTATTAAATAAGAAAAATAGTTTATGAAAACGTTTACCATACTAAATGAGGTCAAATTATATGTATAAAATGTTTGTCACGTTTTTGACAATGATCATTCTTTGTTACGCATACTTTGTAAAACAACGAAGACAACGTTAGCCTACGACTTCGAACTGTCACCATTTTGATAAACAAACATGGTTACACGTGACGCGACATGCACGTATTTCAAGTGGTATATTCAAATCTAAATTCATTCATCTCGATTTTAACTACACATTAACGATTATTTTTTCTAATTTCAAGATATAGAATAATTGTATTCACGCGTAGAAATTTCTTTATTCTTTTATTATAAATATTTAAAAACATCCGTATATGTGTATTTTAATATTTGGGCATAAATATATCATCATTACTTTATCTATTTCAAAAAATCTGGCATAATTAGTATATTATCATTACATTGAATTATTTTTTCTTAGTGTGATGGATAATTAATTATTTTGACTAAGTAAATGAATGTTATTATTATTATTACTTTTTCTTTTCGTTTTCTTTGTTATTCAAGATCGGATCATTCATATTAGATAATTGCGCACTGGTCTGATCCATTCGGTGGAAAAAGTAGATATTTCTGTACATATTGGTTAGCAATGGACGTTCGCTCTTACAAGAAAGATTTAAAAACTTTATTAACGGGTGGTTGTCGATTTTGAATATAATAATAATAATAATAATTATAATAATTATAATAATAATAATAATATTAATAATAATAATTTTATATTATTAATTAATAATAGCCTACCAGAGGCAGTTTTTATCATCTATGTTTTTTAATGTTCTCCTTCTCACGAGAGCGATTTAACATCCACTAACATCGAGAATAAAAGTAGGTCTAGTCGTACTGATAAATTTGAACTCTTACGATTACTTTCGCTTATTATTAATATTCTTATGTACTATACCTACACTTGAACATCTGTCATTCGATATTTCTTATTTGACTTTGTTTTTCATTCTTTACCACCAATACGATTTTTTTTATATATCTTGCATACAAAATAATATATTTTATATACCAAAGTGAATGTGTGATTTATATTTTTTTTTCATTTTATTGTTTTTTTTGTTGTGTCATTTTCGTTTGCGATCATCATTATATGATATAATTATAATTATTAATATTATTATTGCGTGTAGAGAATTTCATTTTTTTTAATATTAGCATTATATTATGTACAAGAATAGAAATAGGAAGCAAAAAATTTAATTATCCCATGATCCCTTTGCATTAACTAATCTAGCAAACAGATCGTTCACATGACACCAAATAGGTTTTTTTTTTTAATCAGTTTTTTACTGTCTTCTGCAATAGGGCATACGTTTTATATGTACATGTTCACATGATACCGTTTGGTCAACCGTATACAGTAAAGTTTTATCGATCAGATAATTTTAAATATTTGGATAAAGAAAATATCTTGAAAAGTCTTATCAGTAAATGCAGCAGCAGCATAGATTCAGTGTACTTGGATATTTGATTATTTAATCAAACATAACAAAAAAGTTTAAGGAAAGATTGACGCGTGATCGAGAAACTGCATCGTGTGAACGTTAAGTCCTCCTCCGTACGATTAAAATGTTAAAATATGTTGGGATATGTGTGTCGATTCCTAAGTTTTATGATACACACATGCCGCGATGTATATAAATCGGTATCAGAAGTACTTGCATTGATACAGCTAAAAGTGTTTTGACATTGGTATCACGAAATAACACGATGAGAAGATTCAATAATGTGGAAGCAAATTGGAATTGATGCACATTTCATAAAACCTTGGAGTTGATGCGTGCTCACATCCCAACATATTTTAATGTGTGTAGGGGTGCGGACTTTTACTAACGTTCGACGCTTATTTAGCAAAATTACCGAAATACGGTCAAAAAACCTGGATCGTGTGAACGTACTGTAATGCACCTATGTTAAATTGCGCGTTAGCTTGTCATGTCGTCATTCAATTGAAATAATATCCTGAGAAATAGATAAGATACACAATCAATTCGATCACATAGAACATTTCTTTTTAAAATTGATATATATGATATTTGTAGAGTATATATGTTAGAATTGACTGTTACCTTGGTATCAAGAACTTTATGATTTCGTTCGTATTACCGATCTATGTCTGAAGAAATTAATTGATATCTTTAGAAGTATTTAAAAAAGATTTAAGTCACTATAAATATTTTAAGAATATTTAAATAGATTTCAAATGTTTTCTTTTCATCAAAATTGCTATATTAAATATTTATAAGGAAAAAATAAAGATAAAGATAATAATAATAATAATAATAATAAAGAACAATAAAAAAGAATATACGGAAATTCTAAAGAAAATTAAAAACACGAAGCGTCAAAATCACGCTGATATACGTGTGTTTCAGTATACGTTATTATGTTTTACGAACGAATATAATCGAATACTTATAATAAAGTATATATCTTTTGTTTCTATCGTATAAAAGTTGAAAAAAAGTGATTTTCGGATTATGGGATGATGGTCTTAAGGTAACGAATATCTGTACACCACGTGCCCCTTAGCACTTAAGTTACCTAAGCTTATTTAAATTCGATTTAAATAAAGACCTCTGTAATAATTTCGTCGAGTAGATGCTATTATTTATCAGGGATTCGCCCCACCATCTTTTTTCGTCTCCTCATTCGAAACATTCATTTTCTCGTCCTTATCGTTCTCTAAAATATATAATATATAATATTTATTATATAATTATTAAAAAAAAAATATATATAATAAAAATACAAAGATCCTTTACATTTTTTATATCCTCTTTAAATTAAATGAATAACAATCGGTTTTAAATTTAAAATCAAAATTTTGCTTTCTGACTTTGTAACAATTATGATTATAAATATTGTTTTACTATCATTTAACCAGTTCGAGTGACTTATATACGGGTCGTTTATGCAAAGGCCTTGTATGAACAACAATATAAAGAGGGTCATACCATGCAACGATACATATGACTGAACTTATATGGAGTGTATACTCGCACCAAATCATGTTGTAACAAAAGGGTTCAACATTTTGTCTCATTTATTATTTAACCAAGAACCTCTATTAGTATTATTTTCATTAAATGATAAAAATATAACTTTAGTTAAAATTATGGTATAAAAAAAAGGTATCGTAAATTTTTGATAGGTTAAGCGTTTTAATAACAATGCGATACATACCTTTAACTTCAGATTTGATATCCTCTTCTTTTTTTATATCACTATCTATACCTTCCTGACCCTTTTCTAGTCTTGGCCGTTTTCTGGAATTCTTTAGAAGATAACACTTTAATATAACGATAATATAAAATATGATTATTTATTTTCTATGTTCTAGCAGTATATTATGTAACAACAAAGTAGAACATACTTTAAAAGACCTGTTGTCTCTTCTACCACCATCACCCTCGTCTTCGCTGTCGCTATATTCATTTTCATGTTGTATCCTTTTGTCTAAATCTCTTTGCGATAATCTTTCGTCAGGATTTATTTTCTCCTCTGCTTCTGAATCTTCGATAACAGCACCATCCTCCGGAATCGCTTGCACTTGAACACCCGGCGCGTGAGGCAACATTCTTAAGTTTTCAAATAATCTTGTTCTACGATAAAACAAAACGATAAGTATATATTTTGGTTATTTCATTATTTAATATATTTATATATATATAATAACTTAATAATTACTTTATCTTCTCAAGGTATTCAGGTGTGTTTTGATTAGCCATATTTGATGGACTTATATGTAACTTGAAATCAGGTCCAAAGTATTCAAAATAGTCATTGTATGGAAGTTCATTAGCTATTTCTGTTCCTAGAGCCACAGATGTTTCATATGTCCAACATCTAGATACATTCCTTATTGTATAGCCACCTCCTCCAACCATTAAGAATGGTAGATTATATTTCTTGACAAATTCTACACATTTTCCATGTCCTCTTACGGTTAAATTAAAACAACCAAGTCGATCACCTATTACAAATAACAAATTAATATCCAATAATAATAAATGCGTAAAAATGTTAGAAATGTAATTGAACATATATATTAAATGTACCTGTCAAGGAATCTGCTCCGCATTGTAAAACAACTGCTGACGGTTGGAAAGTTTCCATAACTTTTGAAATTATGGGTACAAAAATGGACTCGTAACTTTCATCATCCATGCCATCCCGTAAAGGTATGTTGACCGCATAATATTTACCCTATGCATAAGATAAAATAAAATGAATAAAAAGACGATTTATTATAATTAAACAAAATAATCTTTAGTTTTTAAAAATTTATTTATTTAACTTCTTACCTTGCCAGCACCAATGTCTCTGAGATCTCCTGTACCAGGAAAATACTCTCCATATTTATGGAAAGAAACAGTCATTACTCTATCTGTTGTGTAAAATGCTTCCTCAACACCATCACCGTGATGAACATCAATATCAATGTATAAAACTCTTTGATGATATTTAAGTAATTCCAAAATTCCGAGTACAATGTCATTTACGTAACAGAAACCTGATGCTTCGCTTTTCTTGGCATGATGCAATCCACCACCCCAATTAATACAAATTTCTGATGCTTGTTTATTAAGTTTTACTGCAGCTGCTACAGAACCACCGGCTGACAATTGGCAGAATTCATACAAGCCATCGAAAACAGGACAATCTTCACCCACGTTAACTATTTTTTAAAAAGTTGAATATTATTGTTTTTAAATATATAAAACATTGCAAATAAAATGTAATAAATATTTTAATTAATACGATTCTTACATCTCTGCATTTGTTTGTTATATTCCGACATATTGTCTGGCCTGATCGATCTTAAAAATCTAATATACTCGTCACTATGAAACTTTGTCATTTCATCAGCAGTAGCTTTATGTGGTCTCTATATAAAAAAAACAAATTATTAATAATTAATAATAATTATTAACAAATAAAAACACTTTGTGAAAGTGTTTTTTGTAATCATTTTAATTATCATAATTTTGTAACACTATTTATCTTATTGTTATTAACAGACAAACTAACAAGTGAAAATTCTTACATAAATTTCCATCTTTCTATAAAGACCATAGTTGAGTAGCAAATTATGTGTCATCCTTATGCGATGTGGTTTCATAGGGTGGCCTTGACCATAATAGTAATTTCCAATATCGCCTAAAAATTAATTAATTGAATACGTTTGATCATGTTTGTAAAAATATTTTTGTTGTTAGTTACTGAAGGTTCGATGTTACGGTGCACCGAAGTTTATCTGAAGATTTCGAGGTTTACGTATATATATTTGATAATATTTATAGATATATATTTTCAAACGAAGCATTTATCGAACACAATTAAAAATATTGATGAATGAAACATTAACTATTACGTGAATTGAATTTTCCTGAATAAATTTACATACATCACATATAACCTACAATTTTCTTAACCAAAAAGAAACCGTAAACCAATGATAAATTAATAAAATATTATTTTATTCTAAGTAAATGGAAGATAAAAAAATATAGAAAATAAAAGTAATTTGTTCCGTAAAAATTAGTTAATCGTATAAAATCTCATATAGAAAAATCATAAATAACATAAAAAGTATGTTACATTTTCATGTTACATTACTTCGGATTAGAAACGATAGAATTAAAATTGTAAATTGCAATAATTATACAAGAAGTGCCTATTTGTTAAAAAATTTCAATAATTTCAATAATATCAACAAATATCACAATACATGTATATAATGTGAGAGATTTTCAAGTCTACATCGGTAACCCGTAGTGTTATGGCTGACGCCAACTTGCCTCTGAAAAGTACGGTGATACGGAGCGTTATTTGAGAATTTCTCGACTTAACGATAAAAAAATCATGCAAACATATAAATAATATAATTAAATTTCAACGTGTAACGCATACAACGCGACGCTATTACGTATTTTGGGCTAAAATTCGATTATTGTAACAAATATAAGACAAAAAGCTAATATAAAAATAAAAATGCTGTGTACGTGATGATAGAAGCGCGAACAGCACAAACACACATTTTGATGACTATCTGTGTGTGTATACGTGCTTTTCGCGGGTCAACCAAACACTTAAGAAATTAGTTATTATTTTTAACTTACTGTCATAATAGTAGCAAACTCGCTTCTTTCCGTGAGACATTGTAGACATTTTTTAAAGGTTTTCTTCAAATAATTACAACCAAAATTATGAATCAAACGCGAACCGCGGAGTGTCGCCGTGTTAACTACTAACAGACTACAGCGTCACTGGCTTTCTGTTTTACGCATGCGTTTCTTCACGTAGATCAAGTTTCGTGTTTGACACATAGGTGGCATTGAACTTCCGAATTATATATGAGACTTATTAAAAGAATTAAGTATATATGTATATGTGCATATATATATATATATATATATATATTTTTTTTTAAATATATATATATTTAAAAAATTAAATATTATTGTTATTATATATGAAATTTTATGTTACATTCTATCCGTTAATTTAATATTATAGTTGCTTTAATTGGTTCAATAATACATTCATTTGATTATTATAAATACTAGCGGAAGCATTTATAATTGGTAGTAACGAGAGAAATCATTGGTCAATTATTGGGAGGATTTCTTGATTCGTGGAAATAGAAATTTAGTTAGTAGTTGGAAACAATCAAAATGTAGAATTATTATGTTTAAGACTGCTTTTCAACCTTTCCTTCGAAACGTTAGTCTCCTTAGTGACAAATTGGAACAAATTTTAAACTACAAGTGGGATAGAATGATCAAAACAGATTGGGTAATATTTATCGAAATAATATTTTAAATATTATTTTAAATAACAGATTATTCACAGTTGAAATAAAGTTATATTTCAAATAAGAAATGATGTTTCTGTAAATAAAATATTTTATTTTGATATAGTTTAAAATATAAAATAAAATACTTCATCTTTAAATTATAAGAATTATATTTTGAATAGTCTCCTTAGTCTGAAGATAAATTGTTAAAACGATTAATGTAATGTAAAACGAGATAACATAAGAATTTCAAAACTCTAACACAAATATTTTCAATATATTTCAAATAAAACATTATTTGAAATATATAGTATTTTAAACAATTATATAATAAATGACATATTTTATTTTAAAAAATACATGCATAATATAAAAAAAATAAAATATTTATTTATTATTTATGATTTAAAATAGTATTTTCCCCATCTCTGGATCAAAACTGTAGGCAAACACATCCTACCATCTTTTTCAAAACTGAAAGGTAAGAAAATAAAGATACATACATACATACGTGTTATTAAATATGACTACTAGATATTAATAAAAATATTTTATAAATTCTTTTCACGCACGTGTCCGAAAATAACTTTTACATCACGTATGTACATATACATATTTAAATAAATTTTATTTTGCAATTTGTACAACCTTACTGTACACATATATATATGTATATATATGTATATATATGTATATATATGTATATATATCAGCTCTTAGATATATAAATAAAATAAATCCTATCATAGGATCGTTCTTTTTAATTATGACGTAATGACTATGATTCGTTTCCAAATTTCATAATGAGCTGCCAAAATTTCGAGTAAATAATTATAATATTATAATCATGAACGTTCAATTTTACTAACTTTCTAATAATGACTAGGTTAGTAAACTATGTAGGTCATGCAATAATCTTAAAAGACTACACGAATATAAAACAAAAAACAAATATCCAAAACATCACATTTTTTCCTAAAGAAAAATTTTCCAAACAATTTGTTCAATTCACTTAAATGCAATAGCATCCGTATTGGCAGTATAATTTTTCTTTTCTTCGATTAATCAATTATAATATTCATATATTGATGATAAATTATCAAGATTTAAAAAATTCTCTGTCGTTATAGCTAAATGAGTACATATGTATGTATAATAAATGTATACAGAGCAGTGTAAATAGGATCTCATTTTGTACGATTATACAGAATATCATAATTAGTTCATATGCTGTTTAAATGTCTCAATCAAAGTATTTCATACTTTTAAAGAAAAGATACTTCGTGATTTGTCTGTATTATCTTTGTGTATGATTGTTTTTTTTTATATCATAATTTAATATCCATGCATATAATAAAGCGTATATGCATATTTTATACGAAGACAGTTTACAAATTGTTCTTTCAATAAATTATAATATCTAACATAGATTATAGTAAAGCTGAAAGTTTACTGAATCATTTGCCGTTAATACCTATTTTATATAAATAAAAAACTAGCACATAGTTATGATAATTAAGATATGTTATACCAGAGACATACAAAATTGGCTTACTAAGTCAATCGTTTCTTATACCAATACTTCTTTTTATTTTCTCTAAATAGATTTTTACAACAATTATATCTATATATTATTTGTATCGAGTGAGTATACTCGGTTAAAGTCGATCGAATAACAGTAACGAATGATATTTTTCTCTGACAAAAAACTTGCACGTCTCTGTATTACACTTTTATCATTATTGTATAAAGGGTATAAAAAGATTCATAAAATTTAAATACATACTTGTAACATTAAAAGAAAAATTAACATTAGAAATTTAGATTTTTAAAACAAGATCTTAATCTTCGATAACAGAGTTAAATGTAACGGAAAACTTTAGTAGTACTTAAAGTATTATCGCAAATATGCCAATTTCCTTTTCATAAGAAATATTTGACTTACGTTACAACATTTTACGTATACTTTAAAAAATATTTATAAAAATGTAGCTCTGTATATTTTGAAAACGCAATTATGTTTACTATACGAAACAGTTTTATCAAATTGAATCAATTAACATAAGATAAATTACTGAAAATGAACTTCGAATGTTCTATTAGTTACAATATATATATATACATAAATATATACACACTCGCACATATGTAATAATAATAAATGTAAATGAAAATTGCAACTAATTCTTTTCCTTTTCTTAAACAAAGTTCATTATCATTTACTTGGCAGGATTATTTTAGTTTAATAGAATAGATATCTTTCGAATAAAAACGGTATTATTTCACAAATTGCAAGTGTATATTCGCTGCATAAAAATAATGCAGTCTGTCTAAGAACAGACAGTCACAGATAGATTTTCTTAACGAAGGTAAAGACCTCGAAAGCCTATCTTCGTAGTTGGATATCTTTTGTGTTCTTTTCTTTTTTTAAACACATATATAATATATCTAACAATCAACATTTTAATACGACTAGTACTTATCGTTTATAAGTTATTATAACTATTAGAATTTCAGAAATTACAGAAATATACTTTGCGATTTGGGAAGTAGTTGCCATAATAAATTTGAAGGGAAGGAAGCGTTCTAAGAATTTTTGCACGATCTGAAGTTTCGTAACGATGAATTAGAAACTCCTAACATATGCAATCATAATACATTAGATATAACTTATTTTAAAGGTCTTTCCATAACGATAAGATCTTTCTATATGCAATAGAACTTTTAAATATCTTTATCTTTGCTATATTATATCATTTGCATATAATTTCGAAATTTTTTGATCACATCATCACATTGTCATGTATCTTTCCTTTCTTCCTATGACTTATATTTTTCTTTTTCCATTTATCTTCTTTTTTTAAATCTTATTCACAGACATATTCTACGGATATGAACGCATATACTGCCGCATATCTATTATTTTCTTTATAAAATACTTAACGAAAAGCTTTCATAGTGAAAAAAATTTAAGGAAAGTTTGAGGCGGTATCGGAACATGAAGAGAAGCTTGATCTACATCGGCTAACTTCTCTTGAAATGCTGGATCCTGATCAGCAATACATGGATGGCCCAAGGATCTCCAAAATAAACAACGACAATTGCGGCATAATTGTATCATTTCTGCGTATTCTTCTCGCAAACCGAATGACCTAGACAATGATAATTATAAATTAGTTAAATTTAAATTAACTTAAAGTTTATCTATATAAATATATTTATTTACCTCCTAGCGATAGTAAATATAGTCTTCCAATCTTTCCCTGGATTATTTTGCCTGGTAGTAGCTATTTGTTGTGGAGTAAAATGATACTGCGCCAGTTCTCGCCATATTCTTTGTTCTTGAGCTAAAACTGCGAGATGTTCGCATGCTTCTGATGAAGCTTCGATGTCCTGCGGATCGCTTAATCGAAGAAGAATTTCTCTGCGACATTCTGCTGGCAAATCCGACCATTGTGGTTGTTGCTCCTCGTCTGGCTATAATGATTTTAATTTAAAATTTTTTACATAACGAACTATATAATTTATAGAACCAACCAAGCAAATATATTTCTAACAATTTACCTGAGTTATAGTGATAGACGAGGCAATTTGTAAAATCCTTTCCAAAGCTGCTTTATGTTTTTCCCATAAGATTACTGAGCCTAGAGGTCTTCCACCCCAACAACATCCAGCACTGAATGCTCTAACTCTTTCGATTAATCGTCTTAATCTTCCAGTTTGTTGTTGCGATAAGGATACTGATGAAAAATCATTGAAAATGTATTGCAAGATAAAACTAACAGTTTATATAAATTGTTAATTTGCCTAATTGATTTATTTCATAAAAAGAAATGTAGAGAAAATTGGTAAAATTGTATACATTATTATCATTTAATATTCAATAAATATACAAAAATTTTGTATTCAATGATGTTCACTATTAAGGAAATTAATTTTAATTATGAAGAGTTAAGCATCAGTCAAGTGTAATTTGGTAGAAACATTTTTAAAAATTCGAAAAGTGGAAGTAATTCTTTTAAACTGAATGGCTCATATCTAATTTAAATTTATTTTTGATTAATTATGATTAAAAAATATTAGAAAAATCAATTTTTTTCATCATAATATGAGAAAGTAAAGGGCCCTTTAATAATAAAATTAATTTTTTCCTTACCTTCCAGCGCTACTTCCTCTAACATATTAAAAAGGACTCGTTGAGCACAGCCACTCAAACCACCCATTCTGTGACTAACTAGAAGATCCAAAAGTCTTACGATGTAATTAAATCGACGACAGTCATGTACCGCCGATAGAAAGTCTAGTCTCTTCAGAGCGTCACTTAATCCATTAAAACCAGCGATCTATAAAATGACGTTTAAATATTTATTAATATTTAGTATGCTTTCAATAAAGACTCTATTTCTATTTAAAATTGAATTTAACTTTAAAAGGACGATTTAAAACTTCATTTGTTTTTTTTATAAATAATGGATTGCCTGGAAAGTTAATGCTTATTTATAAATATATATATTTTCTATAAAAATCGGCACGTACTTTTCGGGCAACCGAATACTTCACAAAAGCAATATTATACACCTGATGTGATCGGAGAATTAAAAACAAAAATGAGAATTGAAAAAAAAAGACTATAATACGCTTAAAATCTATAAATACCAAGTGTAATACTACGTATCGTCGCATACTATTTCTAACGAAGACTCATTGGTCCCGTCGTATTTCCTTTCTTCTCCCTTCATAAGATTTTTTCACCCTCTAGTAAAGCATGACAGACGAATGACCGACCGGCTTCTTAAGAGGCCAATCCCATTTCTTCCATCTTTCACGAGTCCGTGCTAAAAATAAAGACATCTGCGGAAGGAGTCACTCACCTCACGTGTGCACTTCAACGTGATGTGGCAATGCGGTTGGACGGCGTTTTCTAAAATCATGAAAAATAAAATAAAACAAAATATATGTATATACGTACATATGTATGTATGTACAGGGTGGTTTCCAGTTTTTTCCATAAAATTTTATCAGCATATTTTATAATTGAAAATATTATTATTTTCATATTTTTATTTTTAATATCATTTTATATAAATATGGACTTTTAAATGCTTTTTTAAAAAGTTGTAATAAAAATACTGAACGATACGGATCGATGTTTCATCGATATGTTATACAACATAAGAATACATTGTTGGTATCTATTTGATCACTTATTATCTAGCATAAAAGATTAACTGCAGTCTCTTTTAGATTTCTTAAAAAATGAATTATAGCCAGAATTGGTAAGAAACATTCCATTACTATTTCGTCGACACTTATGATTCCAATTAGATAGTTGTCTAATTAAATAATTATTATCCCATTCACTGAATAGGTCGAAGAGGATCAATACCTTAGCTATTAATATTATTAGAAATCATGACAATGAATATTTACTCGTGGGAAACAGCAAAAGCAAAAGTTTATCAAACACAAATTAATACGCGTCGGGAATTAATGCGAAGGATTTGCGACGTATTTACTGCAATTAAGGAAAATTAACAAGAGATTAGTAATGCAATAAATTCTATTCTCCATAGACGCCAGGTCTGCATTCATAATAACAGATAATATTTAGAAATGGAATTATAATTTGAACCAATAGATAATCTATTCTTATGTGGTATCGAATAACAAAGCAGTCTGTTGTAATTTTGTATTTTTTTTATAACTTTTAAAAGGCCATGTTTAGATAACGTTGGTTTTTTATTTTTATTTATAGAAAATACTAGTTAAATTTTTCGGATAAAACTGGGACACCTGTATATATACATATATTATTTTAACTTACGCACTAAAATGAAATATAAAATAAAGCAAATAAAAAAGCAAGTAAAAAAAATGATGTTTGAAACTTGGCTTTTAAAATAGAATTTTGTTCAGGCTATTGAACGACAGAGAGGAAAAGTACACTTTCCCTTTCTAATTTCTTTGTCCTTTTCTATTTTTTTTTCTCAGTTCATCGTAATGATCTTCCCACTCGAAACCGACGAACTTGAAATTACGCTGGGATGAAAACGAAGGTCGGAACTCTGCTAATCGATAACAAACCACCCCACTCCTATGCCCTTCTACTCCCTTTATTATCTCTTTTCTTTCATTCAAAAATTAATTACTCTGACTGCGATTAATCAAGATTATTATAATTTTCTAATGATTATTACAATAAAACAAAAGTTTTAATCCGTGTGTTTGTAATTTTTTTTATAACTAATATCGTTTTTCTCGGTTCCATATATTTAATACACTCTAATATACCTTATTTGATAAAAATACAAAAAAAAGGTAATGTGTAAGGAAAATGAAAAATTAAAAATATACAATATTTTTTTTTTTTTAAATATGCACAATATTCGTAATATTTTCTACGAACTAATTAATATGCATTTCTGCAGCTGTATACAAAGTAAATAAACTATGTAAATAAAACGTCTACAAAAAATATCATGTACATGTGAATCGCATAAGAAAAAAACTATCACGTAGAAAGAAACCTAGATGTATACATATATAACGAGTTATCAATTTTACGAAAGTAATAATCCTCGATAGACTAATTATTTTCGAGTTACGTTTGAAAAAATATTTCAAATAAAAGTAATTTGTTTTTTTCTTCTATGGAATATGTTGTCGCTATAAAAAAAGTAGGTTCCAGTAAATAAATAAATAAAAAAAAAGGAAAAAAAGAAGAAAGAAAAACACAATTGACCTTTAAATGACCTTGAAACCTTCCGCTAAATAAAGAATAATAAATGCCATAATATTTCACCCTTGAAATCAGATAGCTCTTTGACCGAATAATTTTTATTAAAAATACTATTTTTTCAAGATAAAAATTTGTAACACTACTTTTTTTAACACATCTGGTACATATAATAATATATTATTATATTGAATTAAGGACTTAAAAAAATATTTAAAAATTCATATATATAAAATAAGAAATAATTTTGTGGCGTGATAATTGTATAATTACAATAAATTACAGTATAATAAATTAAATGTTAAAAAATATGCATATGTGTACGAAGTTAAGTTAACAAATTGTATGCCTATATTTTTCTAACAGCTGTAAAACTACGCTTAAAAATAAAAGTGAGTTTAATCGAAAATAAAAATTGTTTCTATGTTAGGCTCAAAACTTTTCAAACCCATTTAAGTATATTCTAATTGCGTGAGTTCAAAGTTTGACATGACGTTAATAGAAGGATAAATCAATCAAAGTTTGTAATACTTTGAAATTATTATTACTACTTACCTTTCTTTCTATCCTTCTCCTTCTTGTCTCCAGCATCTTTTTCACCTCTGAAAAAAAAAACAGAACAATTTTTCCAATTAATCTTATTAATCTTTTACACATACATGGAAATCTAATTTTCATTTATTGCACTAGCATTTTCTAAATGTTATCGTAATGAGTTTTAATAGCTCATATCAAATTGTTTCTCTAGTTCCGATGAGTTAAGGTCGATGAATCGTAGATGAGGTCGTTTCAAAAGACCTTGCACTAATCCGCTTACGTAGCACAGGGAGAGAAACCTCACACCATTAATCCACGGCATTATGTAAGCATTAATACTTCATGACACATTTGATAAAACGATTGATGTTATAATAGAAGAGTCGTAAGTATATATAAGTGAAATATACATATGTGTATGTATTCCAAAAATAAAAATAGAAATAGAAAAAAAAATAAAAAACTATGTCGGAAAATAAAAGTGAGTTGACCAAAAAAAAAATTGTCTATGTTAGGCTCGAAACTTTTTAATCCACCCACGTATGTATTATATGTATCCATGTATATTTGATTGCTTGGAAAGTTCGTGCCGGTTTATAAATAAATCAAAATATAACAGTCTTGCCTTGAAATTTTCATTAAAACTAGATTTGAATTTTCCAGGCAATTCAATATAATTTTATTTGTATATTCACATGTTTGTAGATATATAATCTTATTTATACATATATACATTTATTTGCATATACGATCTATTATATGTTTATATATATATACATAATATGTAATTACTTATACATACACGGTATATATTACATATATATGTTTACATGCATATAACATCTATTATACATAAATCTTGACATTGCAAATATCGATCTAATAGTTCTTATGCATTTATTCTATATAAAAAGGTATCAAGGTTGATTTAAACAGACGATTATATTCCTCGCTTTGTTACACGCGATCTGTTTAAACTTGATGTTTTCATCGATCTTTTCGCATGTAATATGTACTATGTAGGTTACATATTTAAACACTTTCGACATTTAATGTATCCAACGATTATGTACACATTGTTCATAATGTAATAAATAAAAACATAGGATTTTTACATTAACGCCATTACGTGGCCAACGTAATAATAGTAACAGTAAAACAAGAAAGCAACAAAGAGAGAAAAAGAGAGAGAGAGGGAGAGAAAGAACAAAAAAGAGAAAAAAACGTCACAATCGGGTTGATAAGATTGTCATTATGGAGTAAGTGGATCAGTAGTAAAAAGAATTCGCAAAGGATGAACGTAATGGTCGTTCTCATTTTTATTGTATCGCTACCTTCAGCATGTATTTAAAATTGATGGAAAATATAAAGCAAAGAAAAGGAATAATGAGAAGAAAAAAAACAAAAAGAAAAATCAACAAATTCAGCTTAGCACAAAAATAGTATTTGTAATATGAACAAATATTTCAAATGATAGTTGTTTGGTATCAAATGAGACACATAATGTAACAATTAGTTTTTTACTATTTTACATATTTATAGAGATACGAAAGTTATTTCAATTTTTTTTTATTACAGCGGTTAAGTTTGGACCCTGTAATTAGAAAGTGTGTTAAGTTGTTTTTACTCAGAATCTAATACATTTTTAAACTGTAGAATATTAAAACATTATACATTATAATAAAAAAATACAAAACTCCAGATGACTTTAACATTTCAATAAATGTTTATTACATCGCGATTAATTCTTTCAATACCATACAACTTTAGTTTGAACATTGTTTTAGACAACAAACAATTCACAAATCATTTAGTTGGTACACTTACAATATTAGAGATAAATCAGTCTGTATAAAATCTTATTTTCCTTTCTTTTATAAAATTTTCTATAATATTGTATATAAAATATAACATTGCAAATAGATATTTTAGATATTAAACTTGACAAGCATTTAATTTGCAATGCAGAAGCACGCTCTTAAAGTGACAAATTATTGAGGGATACATTTGTCAAGGCCGAGAGAGCAGGCAGTCTACTGAGAGGAATCATGAAAATAGGTAGAGATCGTATTAGCTAGGTCATGACCTACTTCTATACCAGCATACAACTAACGTCACAGAGAGCATTTTCTGGATTTCGAGGATTCCAACTATTTACTTCAAGGATACAGCATTATACTATATATATACATTTTCCTTCCTTCCTACCTTCTTTCCCTATCTTGATATTACATGCTCATCTATGTATGATCAAATTATATATTGCTTAAGACTTTTTAGGGATAACCTAATTAATCGAATTGATAAGATTATCTTTCAAAGATACAATAGAGAAATTATTATTCCATTCGATCGCGATAATAAAGAACTAATTTTTATATCGACAATGTGTTAATATAACAATTTGAATTATTAATATAAAAGATTTTAATCTTCGTGTTCGTAATTTTCTTATGACTTATATTGGTTTTTTCTATGTAATTCTGATAAAATTTATTAAGTTCATTAAATTTCGATGGAAATTATGGACTATTTAATTTATATATATAATGATTTACTTAATAAATAATAAAAATTAAATTTTGTACAAATTCGTCCATTGTACAATCTATATATTATCGACTCTTCAATCTATTATACTGTTATAACTTAATAATTTTAATCCATCTTTAATCTCTGGCTTTGACCTCAAGTATTCTTTATTTAGCTTCTTTTTCGTTTCTTTGTCAAAGTTGTTGAGAACCTTAAAAGCCATATAATAAAACAATTTGAAAGCTTAACGTTCCTTTTATTAATAACTATTTAAAATCTATTTGAAACACTCTTTACCTAATTGCATTTACGATCCGAGTACTTTGTAAATTAAAACTGCAATAAAAAGTTCATTTTTAATTCTAAAAACATTCAAAGTATCTTCTAAATATTTACTTAAATTTACAAGCCGACTGTGTAAATAAAATTTACGAAATTTTTCATTTGAATTGTACTACTGTTCAAATTTACAAATGTATTTGACTTATTTGATATTTATATTAATTTTTATAATACTAATGTTTAATAATTTTCGTTAGATATAAAATTTGTTATAATATTATATATTACATATACATTATCTTTTATTAACATTAATTGGCCTAATAAACGGAAATGTTTTAAATAAAGATGGCGAGTTCCACCATTTTGTAGTTAACTGTTCCAAATCATACGATACGAAAATCTGAATTTGAATTAAATACAAAATCAAATGGGAAATTAAATAATCCAGTAAAAATAGATTCATGTCAGCTAAAAAAAAAAAATAATTAATATTCCATATCTCTTAACGTTTCAAACTATAAAAAACTTAAGAAAAAATACGAAGGAATTAACTTTCTTCCATTTTCTGTCGTCACTAAAAGCTGTGATGAAAATAAATAAAAAGAAAAAAGAAAAAATCTACCAAAAATTCAATAAATCATAAGAAAAATTAAGATCAGATGATTACGAACAATGACGTTCTGATTTACGCAGAAAATTTTTATGGAGTTTGATTTAATGTCAATATCATATAAAAATTTAAAAATTAATCAACATTTCATAAAACATAAATCAGTAAAAGAAAAAAAAAAAGAAGAAAAAACATATGCACACATTTTCATCCAAACTAGTAATTTAAACAGAGTTTTAAATAGTGTCTACTTAACGTTAGTCACAATGTACGGTTTTCTTCGTTATTAAAGGTAGTTGACCTTATATAATAATGAAAGAAAGAAGGAAAGAAAAAAAGGGAAAACTAGACTGAACTCTCGAGAGCAAGAGGGGAACACGATCTATCGTTGAGTAATATAGAAAGTCTTCCACTTTGCGGTCGGCAGTTTTGTTGTTGCGAAGTCTACGAGAGCGGCTGATGCATTGTGTCTACTTGCGATTGAAATGAATGAGAAAAAAGTTAAAGAAAATAATAACATTAATAATAAAAAATAAAAAAATTGATATTTCTCAAAAACTGCGTATGTTCATTTATTTGCCCGTCTAATGTAATTAGAATAAAAAGGTATGCATAAATTTAGTAAAATTCAAACGAAATACGTCACAGTAAAAAGCGCATACTACACGAAATGTTTTAGAAAAAGATGAACTAATTTGCAGGGAGAGAGAGAGAGAGAGAGAAAGAGAGAGAGAGAGAGAGAGAGAGAGAGAGAGAAAGAAAGAGAGAGAGAGAGAGAGAGAGAAATATCGAAAACAGAAGTAGTACAGTATCTGTTATTCGACGCTATCACTGTGTCGAAAAACGAGTCCTGCGCTTTGGAACGATTTGCCGTGAATACTTGCACTTTTTGTCGAAAAGATATGCTAGGTGTACTATCTTTAATTTTTCAACGATTTGCAACATTTTGAGCTCAGAATATAATATATGGTTTATTAGAAATAATTTACATTATCGTAATGTTTAACGCATAACAAAGAAAATTGTTTTATTCTTAGAACAAAATAAATGGTAGGACTTATACGATAATACTATAATAATCAACATATATTTTAACTAATAATAATTACTTTTCAAACATATGCGCTTATTTGATAAGGAATATGTTCCTTTTTTTTTCTTACTTCTGTTATACGATTTGGTGTTGATTTGCAAAGATTTTTTATATAATTTTGGTTGAAGATATTCCATTCGTATGCAATAACATTTTTTAATTCGTATATGTGTTGATGCTGTTTACCATTTATAAGTATATATACCACGAACAAATTGCAAGCAGCAATTATTAATAATATTCAAATCTCTAATATTATTTTCATTTAAATATAATTGGATCGATTTTGATGTATGTATAGCTGCATTATCATGTTAAAAAATATATTCAGATTGAGAAATGCATTCTGTGTGATTATTTATTTGTTCTTTAATTAAATTTATGTATTAGACACGTATTGGTATTCATTCTCCTATTGATGAATTTGATACTTATTCTGTGTTCGAAATAACCGATTCCGGTCCAAACCATTACGCTGTCTCCTGCCATTTTTCGTTGAATGGTGAACCCAATCGTGATTGTAACCCATCAGGCTAAATCTGTTTTCGTCTGGGAACTGCATTTTTCTCCATTTCTTTTTCCAATGTGCTTTTTCTTTTTGGAAGCAGCATAAATGTTCTGCTTTGTTTCGTCGTTAATGCAGGTTTTTTTCAATTTTAGCCTTTTCATATTTGCGACAACTCGACGAATATTCGAAATACTGGAATGTTTTTATTATTTGCTTTGTCGTTAACAACGAATTCGAAGCTATACGCAAAATTGCTCGTTTATCGCGATCAGATAACGATGACGACCTACCAGTACTCTTCAATAATCTTCAATATTTTTTAGGAAATTATGTATTACTATACTACTTCATTTAATTACTTTCGATATCTTTGCTACCGATAACTGTTGCTCTTTTAATTCAAGAATTTACTTTTTTTGGATTTGTTTAATTGTTTTTCACGTCTCATGCTCTTACAAATTTGTATGATATTGTACTTTAATTTTTATTCATTAATAAATCAAATAATACTGAGCAATCTTTTAAGGAATGAACAGAGCGTGCGTTGTATCATTTCAATCTTGAAATATAACAAAAGTTTTTCTATCTTATATACATAAAATTACGATATTTTGATGGATTTCCAACGAACCGCATATTCTAAACTCATATAATGTTTCCATATTATTCGTCAAATTTGCCGTGATCATTGAAAAATTAAATATAACATATCTGGAATATCTTTTTGACGAGGAATGTACCTACGATTCCTCAGCTGACAGCTGTTTTTTTGAAAGAGATAGTAACTATCATTGAATGCTACTACTTCAAAAGGATTCGCAAGAACAGAAAGGAGAGAGTATGTGTATACATTTAAAATAAAGGAGTTTCAGGTGCATATATATGTGTATATGTGTATGTATATGGATAAAATGTGATGGTGAACGGTACTTACCGAAGTAGAAGTGACAACGTCTTATTATTCGCACACTCGAGGATCTTTTTCTTTTCCCATCCTTCGACCGTTTTAACCCATTCTTCACCAGGACTACGCCAATCCTTCGATATGAACGGCATACTGGTTCTTTTTTATTATTTTACTTTGATAATCAACTTTTGTAAATAAAGAAAGAGAGGATGACAGAAAGAGTACGTGAGAAAGAAAAAGAGAGAGAGATAAGAAGGAAGAGTTAAAAGAGAGAGAATCGGTGAAAGACAGGATAGCTTGGTCACGTTCGCCTACGCGAAACACACTGAACAACACCGGCTCGTCTCTCCTTGTTGTTATTGTCGTCGTCGTCGTAGTTATTTCTTTGGCGAAAAAAGTGGCTACGAGAGGTACCCTCAACGCTACGAGTAAACGTCACGCGTTTTCTCGACGCGATCGCGGCCAGGACCGTGCGCTTTCTTTCGCGGTCGCACGATCGACCGCGCATGGCTTTGTTTCTATGACGTCAGTCAAGCATCAGCTGTGCGCGAGAGAAACAACGCGACGTTGCCGGCTACTCAGGAGAATGCGTCTATACTCATGTTCGACGTTATTGGTGGAAATAACATTCCATGCGCGCGCATATTTAAATTTTTTAAATTGCATATACATTTTTCTTCGAATACCTTATAAGCGTTGATAATATTTGCAATGGATTGACAATTACTCTAAATATTTTAATTACTGACATTATAATTTATTTTATAATATAAATAATTAAATTAAATAAATTATAAAATATGTTTTTTACTTAGTCCACTCTTGTGGATTTCTATCATTGATTTTATCATTTATTCTGTATTACAATTACTTTGGTTATAAATTAAATCATAAAATCAATTTGTTGCATTTTTTTGTACTTATTGTTAATTTACTGTTATAATTATTGATACATACAAGTGTTTCTCCCTGGTTAAAGCGAATAACTTTACTTTTGGAATTTATTTTTATATTGTAATATTAAAGCACTCAGTCGAAGTTTAATATTTTGTATATTTAAAATATATGTCTTTAATAATTAGGCTCATTATTACTGAAAGATAAAAATTTGTATGCCCATTGAATAATAAATGATGTAACAATGTAATGTGTCGACCAATAAGTAATATCACAATTTTTAATATAAAAATATATATATATATATATATAAATATTGCTTATTTAGATATGCAATATTAAAAAGTGTTTCAGTGAACAAAGTATTTAATAGTATTATTTACTTAGATATAAAACGGTAAATAGTTTTTTAGTAAAACAGTATTAAGATATAAAATGTATTTTTATTTAGGTACAGTAGATGATTGGTTAATGAACAATTCGGAATGTGAACAAATCAGACATAGAACATTTTTACGAAAGATTTTTATGTTCAGAAATGAAGCCCACGCTCGGATAACGAAAACTTCATAGAACAAACAGAAGAAGAAATGACGTTGCGTGTAGGATGTACAAAACTGTACAATGGGTGATCAGTTAATAAACATAATCTATTCAACAATGTTCACTAGCCAAATTGTTCGTTAAACGATCTGTATATTCTTTCTTTTCTTAAATATGAGATATTAAACATTCCAACATTACTTAATAGTTAACACGATATATTATAATATAACTTTATCAATTTTCTATACTTTTTGTTTTGTAGAGTTAATTGATTTGGCAAACATGTTGCTCATATGTCATAGAAGTCATTCTAATGCGATTTATATAGTTTTTATTATTTTCATTTATATATATTATTTAAATAAATATATATATATATTTTTTTTATTATATATTATTAGCACATTTGGTATAAATTAGTATGCTTATAGGCATAGGGTTCCTTACACTCACGAGTTTAACAGATGATTATTTGCATAATTATTTACTTAAAATACCAATAATATTTCAGATATCACAATTATCTTTTTGGATTTTTACGTTTTATTTAAAAATTTAAATGTTTGTGTATATGTGTATGCTTTACCATCTAAACCATCGATTAATTTGAAATTTATATAAAAAATTAACAAGAATCTATAACTTCAGCTTAATTTAATTTTCAGTTTAAAAATACCAATATTATCTTTATTTATATAAATTCAGAAAATTAGAAACAAAGTCAAGTTACACATTATAAAGATTCAGGAATAATTTTGGTTGAATATGATTTATAAGATTCTATAAAATATTTATGATAATTGTTAAATTATGATGTATCAACTCAATAGATTGCAATATTATATAGGATTATTTCCTACTGTGACTTTCACAAGTAAAAAACTTATACTTCTTATATGACGCATATGTATAACAAAATTAAATAAAAATAAATAAAGGTTGTTCAGAAATAAATTAAAATAGTGTTAACTACTATCGTAAAATATATCAGTCATGCCTATTTTATCCCACATAGAAATGTTTTTTCATAAATGAAATTCACGTTTTTACATCTTGTAGTTTTTTGTTAATTTCACTAACATCGTCATCTTTTTGCTCCTTCTCTTCCTCTTCGGATTCTGTATCGGTTGGTGGAAAATCAGGTAGTGCTGCGAATAAAATGATATATTAAGATACGCTTTTATTTCTATATGAGAAAAAATGTTATCACAAAAATTTTACCTTGTCTATCTAATCTCTCTTGTCTAGCTTTTTCAATGAAATCATCTTGAACAGCTATAATTTCCTTAGCATCCTTACAAGTAGCATATCTTTCTAACAATTCCTTATTCAATTCAAGAAAAGAATGGCCCCAGGAAAACTTATCTAAATAACAATTAGCTACATCTGGAAATCCTGTTATGATCAATGTTGCAGCTATCGCTTCTACACAACTTAATTGACACGCCTTCCCATAATTAATTGGATTAGCTGCAACGAGGAAAGGTAAAAGGCGAGGATTTGGCGCCTTTAGTTGTCCAATTGGTGTGGTATCTATGCGAGCCCAACTGCAATCCACAACGGCACAACCAAAATCTTTTACAATATTGCGATCCATTGGATTGACGCACTGTAATTCAATAATTATCATAAATATTACGTATAATTAGAACATAAATTGTAAAAAACAAAAACAATTATTAAAACTTACTTTTGTGCCTGACGGAGAGAGTACTAAACCTGAAAAACGTGTATTTAACCTTAACGTTTTTATTAATCCATGTCTAGATAATTTTCTACCGGTACATTTCTTGGGATCGCATTGTTCTAAATCCCACATAGCAACGGGAAAGGGTACTGACCATTCTTCTTCCGATTCTATAAAGATGATAAGAAGATGAAGAGTTTTAAGATTTTATTAAAGTCATTTATTCTAACCTGATTCTTCCTTGTCAGATTTATCTCTTTCTTGACGATATTTCTCTTCCTTTCCTAATACATGACGATGTCTTTTGCCTATCATTTTATTTTTATTCTTTTTTCGGGCTGACATTTTTCCAGAAATTTTCAGTTAAAGACAAATAAATAAATTTAAAATTTTGAAATACGTTGGACACCGTTTACCTCACACTTTCAAAACACATTGATTTAAATTTGTAGTAGAGGTTAACTTTTATGTAAGGATTTCTGCGCATTCTCTAATCTTGCTATTATATATGTCTCTACGAATTGTTTGTATACGAAGATTTATATACATGTTACGTACACATGATATTGAATATTGTGAATGATATTCGTTTAAAACTGCTTTTTTGAAAAATAGAAAAAAGATGAGAGAAGAAATCATCATATTTTACATGTTTTTTATAGATTATTATTATTATTATCATCATTTAACGATAAAATATATATTTAAGATAATGATTAAAATGTTTTCCTATTGATAAACTATTTCTTTGTTTATATTTATTCATTTGATGTAAATATTATTTGAAATATGATTTGGACAATGATTATTTAAATAAGTATGTCTTTTAACAGTTACAAATTTATTTTTTATTTTATATTATATTAAAAACGTAATACGCTATCCAAATAACAATATTGACAATAATAATTGTTTTATAAAATAAACAAAAAAAGAAATATTTTATTGTTAACAGTATGTGGCATATTTTTTGATCAAGCAGCAACACATTCTACGGGAACATTGAACATTTCAGTACTGGAAGGAGTGCGTTGACTAAAATCAGGATTAGCTCCCTTTTCAACTCTTTTCTTCATTCCTATACTTTGTTCGTTCTGTGGTAAACAATAAAGATAATATTTCTTTTGCTTTGTTCCATTAGGTTTACATCCGCTGGTACACATTGGTACAGGTCTCATAGTGAAACAGATCTTATTTTCCTTGGATATGGTTCTAATTCGGTGACTGTGACAATGGTTCATATTATCTTTTCTGTGGTAGCCCCATTGCTTCCAATTTGTAAATGCTCTTCCAGCTTCCTCGTCGTTTACCACATCACTGAAGTGTATAACCTTTGTTATACACTTAGAGAACTGAGCCTTTTTCGCATGTTTCAAAGCATTTCCTTCGCATCGTTCCTTCAAGATATATGTGGATGTAAATTCTTCTGGTTTCTGTAGCATGCAGTTCTTTGGAGTAACAAAGTCATTTTCTGGTCTGCCATCATAGTCGCCACAAAGACCACGAATAGATTTTCTATATGTGGTAGGAACCTAGAATGAAAGAATGATAAAATTTATTATGGATTATAATCTTAAAGAGATAACGTATTATTTCTGCAGCTATTACATACCTCGATTTGTACGCGGTTGCCATCATAGACAAGATCAAGATCATATACTGCTGATTGCAATTTGAGGGCAGGCCCAGGAAGTTTATATATTTCAAAAACAAGTTCATCGTTCTTGACTTGTTTGTAGCTTTCTTTCTGCGAGCATCTCACTTTTTGTCCATTAACCATAGCTTCAAGTTCCATACCAGATTGTCGAAGTTGCACTTCGTCATTACCTACTTGAACTCTAATTTCTTTTTTGTTATTTTCCGTTTCTTGGGCAACAATGCTTAGTTTCATATCTTCAGGAATATCCCATAATTCATTAAACTTGTTTGGATTATGTTTTGGGTAGGTAGTTAATAACACGTGTGGACATTTACCAAGTTGCAAAGGATAAGCTTTACCATCAAAAGTTATTGCTTCATCATTGTCAATGGTACACGAAGCTGAAAACAGTTGATTTGGATGAATAGACCGCATATTTAATCATCTATAAAACGTGCGATTAAAAATGTTTACATATTTTAGATTAGTCAAATCATATACCTGTAAATCCATTGTCTTTTTCGTTTTTGTCCATATCAATATCATCCCATATTTGAGACACTTCAAAATTAGAGAAAGTAAAAGTGTTTCCAGGTGCATATATTCTGCCATCTACGCTTTTCATGTCAGGTGATAATTTAATTCGAATATTTACTTCGTTGTTTTTGTTGTCGTTTGATTCTTTCTGAACTTGTATGTCCGATATTTCAAAAAGTTTCTTTGAATTCTTGATAGTATCTAATACAGCATTATTATCTTCTTCAGAATCAAAGCTGATCGTCATATCTACTTCGTTTAGAATACTAGCCATGTTTATAGCTCCTTGGCAATTTCTAATTCTATTTTTCTGATTTTCGTTGCATTTTTTGGCCATTGACGATTTTTGGACATACATTTTATAATCCTCAGTTTGTTTCATCTGTCCTTCAATGGCAATACGTTTGCCTTCAGAGCATGTTGTTCCAGCTTGAATATTAAGGGTGAATTTCAACCTTGGATCATCATTAAGTATTTTCTGGTAATCAAAAGGTGCTGTTGCCGTGCTTTTCATTTGAGTGTTAGTGCAAATTTCGAAAGTTGTATTACGTTGAGGTAGGTTCATGCGCATGTACGAAAGACTTCGAAATTTATTTTCAACTTCACTACCAGCTAAACACCAGGTCAAAACGTGACTACTACCCCATGCTCCAGGTATTTCCAGACCAGTGTCAACAACAAACGCATTTCCAGAATTCATACCTTTAGAAGCTTCTGATAAGAAAGTTTTCCTTCTAGCCGGGCTATCAGGAGTGTGTTGGTTTGTTAAGACTACTTTGTTGCCAGATTGCCAAGATCCCTCATCAGAATTATCATTCTCCGGTCTAATTTCCATATTATCCCATACGGCAAAGAGTTTAATAGCTTCGTTTTCTTGTAGATTAGGTTTGACGTAGAGGTCAATTTTTTCGTATGTACCTTTGGTGAATGATAACATGGATGTCATGTCGTACCACTTATCGTCACTTTTTAGAAATTGCTGAAGTCTTTCCATAAGATTATCGCTTTCAACTTCTACGGCAAAAACGCTGTTAGGATCGTTTGGAATTCTAATCTGTGTTGGTTCATTCCTTCCTACTCTATGAGTGTTCTTGGTCAAGAGCAATGGGCGCAACGACAGGAGATCATATTGCGAGGTATAAGGTACTTCACTAAAGTGTCCCAGTCTGGTCCTCGTATTGGCATCTTGTTCCGATGGTCGGAGTGCTAAATCGATTCTATTTTTTTCAGAATTTACATTGTAATTTAGTCTGAATGGTAGGAAAATTTGGCAATTGCTATCAATGCCCGATACATATGCTTCATGGTCGAATGGTGCTATGAATCCAACTCTTCCTTGATCTTTTGTAGACATAAGTAGACGAACATCGAATCCAGATTTCATATCTGGCTTAGTTGTACCACTAAGTTTGTAAAATATAGGTCTGTGTAAAGCGTAAACGAAAGGCAAACCAGTTTCAGTAGGAAAACTCATAACCATGTCGTTGCTCAACCACTTATTTATGTTAACACGACCACTATGCTTCGAAGACATTAAGTCTGGAACAAGGAAGAATATATTTTTGTGAAAATTATGTGATAATTGATATATTATTTAAAATAAAATAAAAATAACTTACTACGTATAACTCTTTCGATGGTATGATTATCAAAAGAAAAGTATCTATCAAGATATGGCGTCTTATAGAAGAATGTTCCTTCCACTTGTTCAACGTCGTCCGATTCGATGTTAAGCATTTTAGCGATTTTCTCCGTGAGCGATTCCTCAACGTTTTCTTTTCCCGATTTATGCCTATACATTTCTAATAGACTCTTTACGCTCGATATACTTAAACTTAATTCATATGGAGGACCAAGGAAGTTATTGTAAGAAGTTTTCATAGCTACGAATATAGACATTGGGATTATGCTATCTTCACTTCCGATATAATTCATTAACGCTCTGTAACTCAACTGATCATTCATTTGAGCTTCCATAAAATAATTTTGTGAATGATAATACTCAGTATCTGCTGGATTCAATAGATGAAGTACTTTGCGAGCATTGGTTGCTAGTTCTTGCCATTCAGGATACGTTAACTCAGCTGCATTTTCAATCGATGATTTAACTGCAGAATTAACTTGTTTATTATAGTCATAATTGGTAAATTGTGCCATACGCATGAGCATATCTAATGGTGGACTCGTTTTCATCAATAAATAGACAGCAGCGCAACGAACATAATGAACGTCCCAGGTATTGAGGTAGATCTTGTATAAGACAGAACGTGCGAGGCTAGGTTTAACATCAATTAATTTTTTCAAAGACATAACCATCAGGAAACGTTGGAAAGTTGACACTTGTTCCTTGCCCTCGAGGTAAGGTTCAAAAACGCTCAATATCTTCGGATGTCCTGTTATACCTAAAGCAATAATATACACTTGGATTCTTGGACTATTTCCATCCTTGATAGCTTTCCTCAATTGTTCCGCAAGGAATGGAATGTATTTTCTTATAACTGCGTCATTTTGTCTAGGTGATAGACGGCCGAAAACGTTAACTGGATAAGAATTGAACATGCTGATGTTAGAGACTTGAGTGAGATGTACTAATTCAGCGAAAGATAAGACAATCGACGAATTGAGGTATAATTGTTTTTGTACCTCTGGATTTCTTGCTATTTCCTGTACAAAAAAGAAAGTATGTTATCGATATTTTTTTTTATTTGGATTAGATTTTACTTCAATTTGTCTATAAAAAAACAATATAATGACGGGGATGATACTTACGAATAAAGTATCGACATATTCGGCTGTAGGTATTCGTGCAGTCTTAGGAATGGCTGATACAACTTCGGCAGCTTCGAATTCTTTGATCTGTTTATTTTCGATCCACCTTTTGATAGTCATCAAAGCAGGTCCAGTTCCTGCACTAGCAATTGCATCACGATATACATCTCTAATGTTCTCATTTTTAATTTGATTCCGTTCGTCAGGACTAATTTCATTCCAAACGGAATGCAAGTTTCTTTCAGCTTTGTTGATTTGCTCTAAACTCATGCTACTGATCAATCTAGACAAAATCGTGAATTTATCTAGGGTTTCTTGTTCAGGCATGGTATTCGGATTTTCTATTTCGTTTGCGATTTCTTCGACAAGTGTAGATACCATTTTAATAAAGTCTGTCTTATCAGATAACAGGACTGCCTTCCCCTTGTTACCAATGAACAATGGTAAGAATGGATTTCTAGGTGCATCTTGTAACGTTGGTTTCTTCTGCCAATATCTTTTATCTTCATCATTAACAACATTGGTTTTAAAACTCTGACCATACTGTTCCCTTATAAGTTGTAATTCTTCGTTACTCTCAGAATTAGAGTCTACTTCGTTCGACATTGAATTAAAACTTTCGCTAGGTTGTCCAGGTCGTCGACGTTCATTTTCCGAAAATGGATCGTTGTAAGTGTAAACTAGATTTCCAGTTGATATAGGACGACTCGGTTCTGGTATTTGGTTTGTCATTTCTTGGACACTAACGAGAGTCACATTCATTTTACTCATTACAATGCTTTCTTGTTCATCTACAAGTCTGGGCTTCATGATTATTTTAGTTCTTGTTACAGCCGATTGTACGATAAAGTTTTTGAGAGTTCCGGATAAAACCATATAAGACGTTGATGATCTCTGTAAATCAAATGAACATATTGTGTATAAAATTAATGTCTCTTTAAAATTAAACAGGCGTAGCGCATACTGTAAATCGGATATATTTTAAAATTGCACCCCACGGGCATCCGAACGGAGACATAGCCGTCAGCCAGATTTGGGTAACGTGATGTTCAACGTAAAATTACTTAAGTTTTTATCGTCAAATAAATTGATATATTAACTTACTTTCATAATTTTATCATTGTTTCTAATATCGGATTCCCAGTTTGCATTTCCACTTATTCCAAAATGATAGTCCACGCGTTGGTCGCATTTTTCGTAGTTCTTAGTTTTCGTGATGTAGAAGAGTTCCCCTTTACCTCGTATTTCTGGATTTGGTAATAATTCTGGACGATCGTGAATCATGTGTTCATCTAACGGTACGATGTCGTAGAGAACCTCACATCTTCCACTAATACTATCTTCCATGGAATGGAAGGTGGCAAAGGGATTTTCATTTTCTGGTACTTGAAGACCCTTATTTCTTTTCATGTTTTCTCCTTGAGTATCAGTTTGTAATTGGCTGATGATACTCTTGATGATGTTTACTTCCCATACTGGTACATTCTCGTTAACAATCAATTCTCTGAAGACTTTATGTTTTAGTTTGACGACAAAGGGTTCGTTAGATAATTGTAGATCTTCGTATTCTAACATCTGATCAGAGATATGAGATTCCCAACCATTTGGTAGAGTCTTGTGTATTTTAGCATACTGAGGATTCAGTAATTTGAATCTAAAGATGTCGGCAGAAACACATTGAACTTCCAGTACCGCTTTCATTAAAATACCAGCATATTGGTCACCTAATGTGTCCAGTCCAGTTACTGTACGACTTCGTATGAGATATTGATACTCTCTTCCAACTACCCAGCCATGGTTGTCATCGTCGGAACTATTTGCAGCGACAATTCCGACTGTAAAAAAGAAAAAAGAATATATCAAATATCTTAAGAATTTAATCTTTTATTACCAGCGATTCATATACGGATCGTCCATGCAAAGGACTCGTATAAACGACCGACCCATATGGAGATTGTATACCAAGTATAGATAGTAAGTATGCATATCATAAAATATATGTGAAATATGTTTATTATGTATATTATATTATTATATTATAGCAAATTAAATTGTATTATATTATCATGCCAGAGTATATTATGTATAACTAATGTAAGTTCATTTACAGTCCAACAGGCTATAAATAAATAAATAAATCTAAAATCTATATACATATGAAATAAATGAGAAAAAAAATATATTTATTTTAAATAATTTTTAATATATCAATGTACCTCCTCATTGACAGGTAAGTTGATATTTTTATGTTATTTTAGCTATGTTGATTATAATATAATTATAATTTAAAAAAAACAATTGAATAATAATCGCTATTATCAATGCACGCGCACAGTTGTACGCTCTATTGTTATAATTAAACAAACAATTTAGTACTGATCGAGCTACGTATAAACAATATCCAAATAATTACACTTTATAAACTTATTGTTAGTCCATGAATTTGTTCCTATTTCCCTTTAAAGTATGGTACGTCCAAACGCAAAAAAAAATTAATATGGAAATCTTACCTAATAGCAGTAGAATAAAAGGAGACCGCATATTGCAATGATTTCAGTGGATCAACCAACAGAGAATGAAATTATGACACTTAAAGACGTATTTATATTGTCCGATCATTTGCAGTTTTAACATAGCCTCTGACCTCATCTCCGGCTGCTAATCATCGATTTCTTGAAATAATCCTCAACGCGTGTAAAATTATATTTTCTTTCTAACGCATTTAGCTATTCAACTATAATTTTGTACTTGACCTTTGAAATAACTGCAACTTAAGCAGCTTTAATATGCACTGTTATATATAATATATTTATTTCTAAATCGTCTGTATCTCACTTCAAGGTGACACGTTACTAACAGTAATGATATTACATTAGTATATTTTATCAATGAAAAATTCTCATTCACAAGTTCGTTGATCGTAATTTTTCTAATGTATTGCCTTATCAGTGACCCCTTGTTATTTTCTCGAGAACGGTGACTCTATCCGTAAATATTGCATCTACAGATTGTTTTTTCATTCATTTAGTTTAATTTATTTATTTATTTTATTCTTCTTAAGAAAAGGCTATTTAACTGTACGTCTGACATGTTTTTAATCAATTTTCATGTAATATGTATTCACGTGGCTATAATTATTTCTAATTTTCATTGTTCTTCATAGATCTCTTTATTATGCAAACTACGATATAATAAATAGAATAAAAGAAAGATAAGAAAGAATTTATTAAAGAATGTATAAAAGTTTTTAAATTATTATAAAAATTTTATTTTTTATTAAATTAAGAGTGTCATCTTTAATTAAAAATATCATTTTTACTCAAGATTAATACAGAAATATAATATTTTGCAACTTTTTCTTGTTATATGTTATGATTTTTTAAAAGAAAAAAGAACAATTGCCGTTTTCAAGAAAGAATGTTATAAATCTATTCAAACGAAGAATTAAACAAAATCGGTGATTAGTAAATCATTTATAAAGTTTTATACAAAAGGTCGTATTCATGATTGTGCGAACTGTGCGGTAGCACAGGGCTTACGCCATTGAGGATCCTAAGATTATTATGGACATAAAATATTTTGTATCTTTTTTTAAAGATAATTCAACTTGTGAAAATAATTGATGCAACAACGATAGATCATTTCAAAATTTATCGGTATATTCGATTTTTATGGAAATCAACAAGTGATTTCAAACTTTTATATACATAAGAGTAAAAAGTTTGCTATAAAAACATTTCCTTGAACTAAAAAACATTATTTTTACATAAGATTATCGTAAAAATATAATAATTTAAATATCTTTATTTGGTAATAATAAATAATTAACTGGCACGAACGAAGACCGGATTCGTTTTGGTACAGGTAGGATTGTTGTCAAGATCCATTGATGAAATTGTTGCTTTAATTACTGTCCGTGTAACTTCCAATTCCTGTTAAAAAAAAAAACAAATGATAATAATAATTAAAGTCAACGGCATAGCCATGTTGGATTACTAGTTTCCAGTCGATCATTTAAAATTAAGCAGCATGAGCACGATTAATAATATTGATGGGTGATCCGTTAAAAAAACAAAAGACAAAAACTGCGTGGTGTTGACTCCAAAGAGGCGGTAAAAAGTCACGATCTGTTTGATAGTATGTTGGTAGTAAATATGTGTGAAAAGGTGTTCGTAGAGAAATTACTCGAATCCATAAAATAAAGAGTAAAAAATACATTCTTTCCATAATAATAATTGAAAATTATTAAAATTGCTAAAAGTTATGAATAAACGATTAGAAAATACTTAGAATAAGAATAATAAAGATGAAGTTAGAAACGAGAAATATAGATGAGCTTGACATTGACAATAAGTCTCTGCTCATTTTGGTTTTAATTAGATATAATATCGATAATAGAGAGAGAAAGGTTATAAAAAAAGTAGCAGAACTAACTAAGATTAGTTGGTATGACGCAAATAAAAACGTTTCCACTCTCATCTCATTTCTAATAACATAAAAATATTTGGCGCGTGCGCTTATCATCATAGCATATATTACCTATTTTGCAAATAGTGATATTTAAAAATCATTGTAGAGAAAAACAAATTATATGAAGCTTTCGTATAATGTAATCGATTAATTTTGCAAACGTTTTATATTCAAACGGAAATCCTTATCGGAGGCTATCATTTTTTTTTAATTTTTTATCGAATCATGTTAGTAACAGCACGATATCTTCATAATTTACGAAACTACGCGATAGAAGCGAGAAAAAAAGAAGAAAAAGAAAATAATCACCTCTTCGGTATCAATGTCAATTTCTTGTAGAACCTCGTCAAGAACAGATACAAACTCATTAGCATTTTCGATGGTGAATACCATAGGTGGTTTAAGTTTGAGAACATTTCTATCCGGACCATCACTGCTAACGAGAATTTTGTTTTCTTTCATCCTCGAGACAATGTGTTTAGCTTCAGCGGTAGCTGGAATCTTGTCTCTTCTACTTCGTACCAATTCGATACCAATGAACAATCCCACACCACGAACATCACCAATGATCTTCCTACGTTTAGATAATTTTCTTAATTCCATCATTAAATGTTTTCCGACAATCGATGCATTTTTTTGTAGATTGTCACGTTCGATAACTTCCATAACAGCATTGGCTATTGCACAAGATACTGGATTACCGCCGTACTGTAAAAAGGAAATAGATGAAATGATTATAAAAAATGTGCATTTCTAATTATTTCTAATTATTATTTTTTCTTCTTCGTTTTAGAGATAATTACCGTATTAAAATATTCGACTCCAGTATTTTTAAAACTGGTTGCGATTTCAGGCGTCGTGATTACTGCTGCTACAGGATATCCATTACCCATTGGCTTTCCAACTGTTACAATATCTGGTATCACCCCATAAAGTTGAAAGGCCCACATGTGACTACCAACTCTACCAAAACCAACTTGAACCTCGTCGGTGATGCATACACCACCAGCTTCTCTAACATACCTGAATACATTTATTTTTTATGTTATAGATTCATTTTATTTTTAGTGGTTATTAAAATTACCAATAATATTATTTATATAAATATAAAAAATTAAACATTCCGACATTACTTATCACCAATCGAATATTTTGGAAATTAAAATCATTTAAAGAGAAATTATTTTTAAGCCATCATAAAGAAAATTATTATTTGTAAATAAAATATATATATACAAAAATTAATAAATATGAATGTTTAATTACCTGAATACGTTTTTAAAGTAATTTTTAGGTGGAAGAATTTGTCCACCAACGGACAATAGACTCTCTGCTATATATGTACAAACTCCTCGACCTTTGACTTTAAGGTCGTCACAAATGTGTTTTATATCTTCCGCGTATTTAAGACCAAGATCTTGATTAGGATAATCATCAGCACAATATTTTCCACGATATACGTCTGGACAAGGTGCCTAATAGTTTAATAAACATTATCATTATTATGATTAAAAAAAATAATTGTGCCGATATTTAAGATAGTGGATTGAAAATAAAAAATTGAATAAATTGATTTTGTAATTTATTTTATATTATTATCATTTATATTATAAAATATTAGGTGTGTAAATTATCTCGTAAACGTAAATCATAAAATCAATTTTTTCAATATATTGACTTATATTCAACTATCATAACTACTGGCACAATTGTCATTTAAAATATAATAAGTATTGTAAATAAAAAGATCATACCACGTGGACCCAATCTTTCTTTCCATTTTTTATTTGATTAAATTTATATGGAGAGATGTCGATCATTGACGTTAGGTGACCATGGTAAGCACTGCAAAGGAAAAACAATATTTGTATGATTGAATCAAATGACAATAAATAATATTTTTAATTTATCTGTAATCTAACGTACGCGTGAGTTCCACATCGTTATGTTATTATTCATAACGATCGCAAATAATTACTGATATTTATTTTTCAATGTTTAACCGAATAACAAAGACATAAATCAATATATAAGACATAATCAATAAATTAATAATAATACAAGTAAAATAAATTTAAATAATTAACTTTAATATTAAGAAATCTTTCTTTTTTTTTAAAAGAGGAAAAAATAATTTCATGATCAGTGTTGAATGGAATTGTGCAATTGTTGATAGTTTTATACAGGAGTAAATCGCAGTCAATAGGTTAACGAGATAAAAAAGGAATTAAAATAAATAAATTATCGTACTGATCGAGAGTGATAATATCCTTATTGCCAGTGTGCGCTTGTGCGAGACGAAGCGCAAGATCGTTAGCTTCGCTACCAGAATTGACGAAGAAACAAACAGATAATGGTTCCGGCATTGTTGCAGTCAATCGTCTTGCACAAACTACGATATTGTCGTGTAAGAAACGATTGTTTGTTGATAATAACGCCATTTGCTCTTGACCGGCTTTTACAACATCTGTTTGACAGTGTCCAACTGTAATTGAAACCCAATTGTTATGAATATTGATTGAAAAATCTCATCTTTTTCAAAATGTAAATAGTAAATACATATTTGAGTCGTTTTTAGGCCAAAACGATTAACTCTAATACTAGAATTGTTTTCAAAATTATTATACTAAAGCACTTAAACATGCTTTTCATATATTACAAATAAATTCCCTTAATAATAAGCTTAACACCGTTAAATAACACAGTTTTGTACGGCTGATGACCAGTAAATATTATAATAATATATAGCGACATATTATCCTATGAGCTGAAAGGGTAATTGTCTGGGGTTTCCATCAATAGGGAGTTCCAAAGTCCCCAATCAACAGTTTATAAATTCATTTTAGTAATAAAAAAATTGAAAATTAAATTTTGGTCCCGTATCTGGGACGAAAGAAAAACAAAATTTCCACCCAAAGACCACCCAATTCAAATTTGTCCAAAGCCCCATGAACTTACCGCTGAAAATGTATACAACTTTATTTTTATTTTTGTCTATTTTTAGTTTCATGGAGTTAATCGATTTGACATATGACCGGTTTTCTTATTCTACTCACCATGTGCAACATTGTTCACACAATCCAAATAACGTGTACCTTTTTCGTCGAACATATACTGTCCTACACCTTTAACTATTTTTAA